AGGATAGTTTCAGAAGGTTGTGTCAAACACTGTTAGTTTTCTAATTAAAATCGAAGTATGTAGTTAACAGTGACTAACCAGCGTCTCTGTGCTGGGTATTATGACCAATAAATTTCAAGTGCAATGTGGAGCAAGAACACATGTTAAGAAAGACTCGTCAAGCTTTCCAAAAGCGAAAGTGACAAGAGCTGTTGGTGATCTCCATTATTCATGATAGAGCAGAAGTCACGGTAATGGGCGTCTAGTTAGCAACATCGCTATGTGATCTTGTTTCGAATCTGGAGGTATCAAGCGATATATTCAATACAAATCTATAGGTTTTACGGTCCATAAACAGATCGGGCAGTTTTAAGCGGAACGATGGAAAGTCCATACTACAGTACATCATACAGGATAGCCGTCAGGTCCACCATGATACGAATTATCCAGAACCGTTTTAACCTACCTAGTGTTAGTCGATTTAAAATAACTTGTGGACTGATGTTTATATGTCAACATCAGAAATATATTGAAAGGTTTCGAGTCTTAATATTGTAGCAAGGGGAGAAATCGTGGTTGAATTGCTGGCAAATGGTGTCCGGGTTGTGTACTGTATTGACGCTGATTATGAAAAACGAGGTCGAATTAATAGAGTTTGACTTGACTCAGGATTAGAACAGGTAAGGTATTGGTAAGTCTAGGTTTTAGCCATCCGGGATTTGTTCCCTCTGTTTAAAAGACGCTTACTTACAAATGATTTATTTCTGTCAATTAATTAAGGAATGTTTTGCAGCGTATACAGTTACTGATGCTTACCTCAAATAAATAAACAAAAGACTTATGCGGAATAAGAGAGCCTATAATAGAACCTTATTCCAATCCACATATATTATTCTGGATATTTGAAGTAGACTTGGTTACCCTACCCAAAAACATGTGAAATCATTAGCTGACGAATATCAACCAGACCTTTGTACATTTACCGCATCAATTCTTGTTGCATGCAAACCTGTCTATACCATGAATCGTTTCTCAGTCCATAAGATGATTGTCGTAACGCAACCCTCGTAACTTGCGCCAATTACTCGCTTTGTACATTCCATCTTTAAGAAAACAATGAATCTTGTGAAATGTTTCAGTAACTGTATACCGTTTTAAAAAAATATATGTTGCTAATCTTAACATTTTTATCTTGCCTGTAAATTGGCATGTCTCTTGTAACATGTTTGTTATTTGAGAATAAATTATTATTATTATTATATACGTATAATGTTACAACAAGGAACAGTCTTTCAAATCTCGGTTTCACTCAACAATAAAAGTGTCAAGTACATTCATTGCCTGACAACGATATTTTCCTTAACAGCTCGATAATCGCATATCGTAAATCCACTGAAACCAGGATTTGAGAATAAGGCTGATTCATAAAATTTCTGGAAGGTAGTTGGTAAATCAAGAATAGTGTTATCCAGACTAGTTAACCATCGTTATGCGGCTCTTGAGGAGTCGTATTCACTTATGATCTAGTGCTGACACTTGATCAAGCGCCTTCAGCTAAGGCATGGTGAGTAAGACTTATGAGGTCATAATCAGTGTCAAAGAATTATGGAACTGTTTTCTTGGAGATTTATTTACCGCTTTAGCTCATTTCTCTTCATGTCAGGCAAGAAGTTCAAACTAAACATACATGATGGTTTAATAAGGCTACCTGGATAGATGGCTACGCCCACTAGTCCAACTGGTCCAACCTTCATTCTTTGAGCATTCCTAAAGTACATAACCGTGATTTAAAAACGTAAAGTGTAAAGTCCAATTCATCTTCTTCGCCTTTTGGCTTCAGTTCATTGAAGTGGCCTTAGGAAGAAAAGAAAACGATAATTTAGGTGTATGTCAAGGTACGCTATTTATCATTTACAGAACAGACTGATTTGTAGCACGAATATCGTTCTATGTCAAGAAAGTATAATGAGCGTTCGCATCAAGATGAGGGTAGGCTTTTCAGTTTAACTTTCGTAGACTAAAAATGAAACCAGTGGAACAAGTTAGACAGATAAAAATAATGATCAGCCTGAAGATAAATATGACACAAACATTATTCAACAAATATATTCAATAGTGATGGCGATGGTATGATCAGAATTAAATCGAACGAATGATAATGGCAGATTATGAAGTTTTCATCCAGGCTCACAAATTCACACAGGTAATTACAGTTCGTTTATTAGGGTCATTTATATCATCATCACTCACTCACAGTTGGTGTGGATAGTGCAGCTCTAAATTTAAAATCACATGATGTGATAACTCTCTAACTTGGATCAACGTGTCCTGATGGACAGATTATCTTTCCTCAGTATAAATAAGAAACTAATAGAATCATTAAAATACATATTTTATTAAAATAATAAAGATTATGGTGACACGGAGCAATAATAATCTGGAAAAATATTAACACAGTTAATACTCCGAAAATTATATAAATTGAGCCAGTAGAACATGAAAATAAATTTGTAGAAACTGTATGATAAAAGATAATTTCAAAGAATATCAGAAATAGATCCAAACTGTTCATATGTTGTTGAAAAGGACAATACTGAGCGTCATGGGCTAAAAATATGAGTGACTTTGCTGTCCGCAAACACGTAGAAACAGAAAGAAAACAAGGTCTATTCTAGGTGCGCAGACTAACAGAAGTATTTAGTGAACAGTAATCGATATGACATTCAAATGTTGGACAGGAATAATAAAATCAATCTTTATTCAATATGTTCCTTGAATAAGCCTAATCGGTTCATAAAAGCCGTAAATAATAACAAAAATCATTTCGAAATTCAGGTTACTTTTACCATATCAGCAACACAACTTTTGTAAGGGATGTGCAACCATTTATTACAGTATCCATCCACTATCTAAACTGTTAGGAATACTAATTTTTAGTGACCATATTTTCTGTTGGTGAATGTTTGAGAAGATCCTAAGTGTCACAACACCAAGATACAGGCGAAAGTAAATCAGCTGGTTCATTCTAGCTAGCCATTACAATTTGTTTAGTAGTTTTCATAAACAATTCTGTACAGTTAAAAATTACTTTTAAATCAGTCTCACTGATACTTAAAAAAGACTTCTAAACCATACTAAGTATTACTAGCAAAGCTGTTAGTTTGTTTAAGTGAGTTGATGGCTAGCTGCAAGTAATCTGTTCGGAGGCGGGTATTATAAATCTGTAACATGTATCACATTTGAATCCTCGTTCTGTCAATTCATAATCCTGATTTCCAGATTGTCTTGACCTCACCTTGATGTCATTTTCATTTGCTTTCAGTCGTTTTTTCGCTTAATGTGAGTTTTCGGTTCACTTTTCATACCTCTTTCTACACACATCACATATTACAAACATCGAGTTTTTTTAAATTTCAACCTAGGCTAATCACAAAGTTTTTCTGATAATACGTTTACTCACATTGTTATGTGCGCATAGAATTCCATTTGTCTTCATAGATGTATTGAATTCTTGTATGATAAGGGACATAATTTTAGAGCTATAGTACACGGATTTTAAATATTAAAAATAATGACCAATCCATCATATTTTGGCTGCTAAAGGGTTATGGACCATTACCTAACATTATTGGTCATGATTATCTCTCTAGCATTTACTGCCGTTGGGTAAATTCTATGTTATCCCGATAGTTTTGACGTCTCTAAAGCTCTATTCTTTCGTTGCACACAAGGCTAATCTGTTTATCGATATCAACAAATGGATAAACATAGATAGATAGATAAATTTTAACCTCAAACGTGTGGTCATCTACATATCAGTAGAATAAAATTTGTTATTAGACTGTCACACAACTTCAACTACCTTCCTACCAAACAATTTGATCAAGCCGACATTCTCTGTATTAACCTAAACGCGAAGCCTTTTTCTATTGAAAGATGGTATCTGAAACTGAAACTCACCCATTTCAATATTAGTCTGGTGTTTGAGACTTCTCAAATAAGCTTACTAAACTGCATCCATATGTAGCTGACGATTCATCAGGCTTCCAGATACTTAAATGATTTCACGCAAATAATATCTCAACTCTTAAAAATCAAAATGTTTTTTCATAGGTATTTTACACTTAGCAGTCAATCTAATTCTTTTTTTGTGAAATACTCTTTGGATTCGGAAGTGCTATAATGCTTGAGGCGGGGCTTGATCTAATTCGTTTCTTTCTTGAGAATCGATGATTGTCCACAGCGTGGAGTTACACAAGTTTCAGCTCGTCTTCCTGGTTTATCATAGGGACTGCATTCATGGAAAATAAAAAGGAAAAAATTGGAATAGTATTTGGTGTTAACGACTTAAATAACTTACCAATATTCAAGGTTATCATTAAAAATGCTGACATCAGTAGATAAACATCGGTCAAATTAGTTTGTAATCTTACGATGATTCCATCTAATACTACAACTTTAAGGTATTTTGATCAGGCTGGTTTATTCCCATTTTTTTCAGTTACTATACATCAAAGCTATCAAATATAAAATAAGCCTCCGTGATCGCTTATCGGTCTAAATATACATTTAAATAGTTACTGAGAACGGTAAAAACCTTTATAACATCCCGCTTTGCCCTAAGGTTCCAGTCACATTTTGAGGTAGCTGCTGATGCTGATGTTTGCAATAAATTGGCCTTATGTTTTATTTCTTTTTGCTAGGTCAACAAACTATAGCTTTCCATTTAAAGTGCATTTCATAAAAGCCCTGAGCAGAACTGAAGGTAATAATTCTAGTTTTTAACTATTGATAAAGTCTGTGCAAAGCTTTCTAGGAAACTTGATAAACCCTGACAAATTAATTTGCTCTTCCTCCTTGTATAAATATTGATAATTAATAAGCATTGTAAGTTAATTTTTCGTCCTCATTTCAGCTTGTTAAACAAATATCCACAAGGTAACGCCGAAAATATCAATTTCTGCTTTCAATTTGACAGTTGTCAAAGAATAAGTAGCCATTAACATTCCATCAACAGTCTAATGTCTAAAGCGCAGGTTATGTTTGTTAAATAACTTTTTCGTTTCATTAATTCTTTATTCTTCTGCTTGTTGCTTCTTACTATGTCGTTACTTCTATGCTGAAATTGTTTTTAAAAATACTACAAATTAACTATTTATTACTTGTATAGTGACGAACATATTGGCATACCTTTGTAGTAAATTTTTTACTGTACCTAGAGAGATAGTGTTTTGTTTTCGAAAAATGCTTAAAGCACAATAAAGCTGTTTCATGCTTTGTTCATCATAAACACCTCGTAAGTAGTGCTAATAAATTCTGTTCCAAGGAAATAAATGTCTATAGTTTTCATTTCGAAGAAACACTGAAAGCAATTTAGTGAAGGTATACTTACGATAACAAATCTAAGATCGTGAAAACAGAATATGGTTTGCTTTAACCACAACCTTAAAAATAGCGATTACTGCAAACAATCCGCGGCTGATTAATGTTCTGGACAACTACTTTTCATCAACCAAGATAAAGTGGTCTGGTTTTAAAAAGAAATCGACCAGCATTTGACCAAAAATGGATAATTAACCATAAGGCTGTTGAACCTTTAAAGCTTTCCATACGACAAAGTTTTCCCTAATTAGCATATTAAACAATATCTGTTTTTGTGGTCAATTTTTCTGCTGCCTTCGCACACAAATAACTTTTGCAGGCGCAAAACAAACTCTAAGCAAAGCGTTCATTAGAAATCTCTCCCATGAACAACTTCCTAGCAAAAACTTTCTGAAACAACTAATATATTTACAGAACATACAAAGGATATAAGGATTCTACCGTATATTACGCTACCTTATAAGTTAAGATTGTCCATTCAGTTCAAATCTATTTTTTACCATCTTTTTAGTTGACGATCGATAAACGCAGTGAGGAAATGTCGACTGTAAATTTTTCTGGCAGTTACTTTCAAGGTGTACTTCGACACACATCATTCGCTAAATTTGCTAAATAATTGGTTTTCAAGCTATAATTAACTCATAGTGGAAACATTCCAGTGAATCGAACGCTTGATAATTACTCAGCAGGAAGTTTGCTGGACATTTAGTGTGAACGACACTAGAATTCCGTCCAAAGAGTCTTTCTGACATTTACTGATAAATGATTATCTCTATTACCTCGAAGATATTTGCCAGTGACCAATTGATTATCGTTTGCATATTTGATTGTGGGAGTTTGTTCAATTTCAAGACAATTTTCTTGACGCAACAACTTCACCTGGCAAACAGTTAAAATTTTGATGTCCTGGCGACTAACCATTACTAATGGATTTCAGTTATCTCATGGGTGAGAATAGTTCCATCTATGGTAATGAATAGTTGTTTTCATGCAACTGATTCGATTTATGATTTTGAATAAGACAAGAAGTAATAACTGTTGTTTCTGGCTTTGCTCAAATAGTCACTTTGATATATTATCGAGTAACTAAAATCAGGAAAGAGATTTTATTTACCGGTGTAGCGACAAAGCGTTCAACTCAATAATTGGAGGCCTAAAGTCGGGTATTTGGGTCAGTCGTGACCACATACTATTTAGAAGTTGAAAAATGATGAAAGCACCTGGTTTTAAACCGTCTTGACTCAAATCAGCCTGTGATAAAAATAGTTCCGAAATTTATTCATCATAAAGTTAATAATTAGACATCTTTATCTATAAGTAAGATAACAGTCATTATCATGAAACGTTCCGCTGTCTATGTAGTTTTTTGTAGCAACCAGTTTAATTTTAGCAGTCTATCACTTAAGTATTAAATTTCTGCTGATAAGTGACCTTTAATTTTTAAAAAACTTCCTAACTATAGGCAGAGGGACTGAGCTTATTTTTGAATGATCAAGCAAATTTCAATAATCCTATTGCACCAAGTACTTCACCCCGCAAAGAGAAGCCCAAATGGGATTCGAAATTCAACAAAAATTTACGTGTTTCTGCTTCCTCTGATGATCAATTCTTTCGAACAAAGCTGAGTCACTATTACGAATTGGATGAAGTCCAAACAAAAAATATTCGCGCTGAAGAGCTAACCAAACAATCTACAACAGAATGGTTAGAAAATTACGGTTTAAAAACTAAAGGATTAACACTTGGTGATTTTATTGCTATGGGCAAAATTCCAGAGAATAGAATGAAAGAATTTGCGGGTAGCTTTATATAAACCATTTTTAATTTATTTTTAAAATAACAGAAAATTCGGATTTATCACTTAACCAGATTGTGGAAGTATTCAAACAAAATCTCCCGTCACATCTCGAATATAACCCCAAACAGGTCAATCAATTTGAATGTAGCCTTCATGAATCTATCTACGAGTATACAAACAGAATAAGATGGTTAATGCAGGTAACTGCAGATTTTGAAATATCTACTCTCCTCCTATCATGTAAATTTTAAGCAATTCCACGATGGCTTATATTAGTCATTTCTTAAACATCTTGACACAGGAAAGATTGGTCAATTTTGTGACTTGAAAACAAATCCTGATCGCTGCTACTGGTACAACTGTTTATTTTAACTACAGAATAACTGCTACCTGCTACGTATTTCGACGGAATGGTACTGGCACATACAAGCAAACAATACTGTAAATACAGATTGGTTTATTCACTAACCACTGATTAAGTAGCATCCAAATCGTTATAAGAAATTGCATATTTTAAATGTCTTAGTCTAACAGTTGATTTTGATAAACTTAACTAGCAATTAGTTGGCGACACAATATGTGTATAGAGTTTTCAAAATCAATAAGCTAACTGATTTAACTGCGAGGTAAAATCCATGAATGAATTATGTATTCGCTTTCTTTCTAACTTACCTGAACTACCATAAGATGTTAAATAAGGAAAACTAGAGTTAATCACTAACTCCACGGTCATTTTTGAGGTGAATATAATTTAAATATGCTTGTTGTCTGCAAATGATCAACACCTGAAATGTTTAGTTGACTATCAATAAATTTGGTAGTTATCACTGAACAAATAAGTTGAGTAAAACGTTTTAGTCTGAATAGGTGTGAAGTTAGCTCTTAGTTTCAGGTCACAACATTGACAAAATCTTGTTTCGAGTCAATCAAAACACGAAACACAATGTACGATTATTTATCAATCTGAACATTAAACTCTAATCTCATTTCTAACTTAGTGTGCAATACCAATACCATCTAATCTCATAAAAGTCTCATTGCTCGAAAACAGATATCACTAAAGTCCTATATGAAATTTACACTTGCTTTCTTTTGAATGTGTATGGGAAAATTCATTCGGCAAAGTTTCACCTATTTTATGCCATTCAGAAATGTTGATGGCTTCTGATAAGCACACTTTATCTACGGAAGGGGAATACTATGAGATTTTTCACATATCAATGTCACGTACAAAGATTTATTGGAAATTTATTCAATCAAAAAGTGACACACGTGCTGAATGGTACAATTTCATCCTTGTTTATGCCACTTTTAGAAAGGATGTTTGAAAACAGTTGACAGTAGAATACTCTAAATATTTTATTAGCATAGCTTTAGAATGCCACATCAGTACTTGGACTAGTAATACCGAGAGTCGGTAAAATATCACACGGAAGCCATAAATTAATCAGTGCGGATATGGAGCCCTTCTGACAGCAGTTTTTGATGTTCTTACTGTAAATGTTTGACTCTTTTTTACCTTTGTACGTGATTTAGCTTCGGGCAATGAGAAATGTAACAAAAGACATTTGAATTAATTTGTTAGGGGCTTACTCTTGATTTGAAGGTTCTGTTTTATTTTGTACAGAATCTATGATTTATCGTTAATAATTGTTTAAACAATATGTAGTAAAAATTTAAAATGATTTCATTCAAACAAGGTCATGGATTAATTCATCATCTCAACATTCGCCTTTACACCTGATAGATACATTGTGATAATCAGATATTGGCGGACTACAGGTGCAGGTGATTGACCGAGAAACGGCTTTACATTGCTGGGGATAAGACATCAACCACTATATATATATATATGAGTGCATGATTATGTGATTAAGTTGGCTTTTCTTTCAAGTAGCTGAGTTTTTGTATCGGAAGTTGTGTACCAGCATTAACTCTCAGATATCACACCATTACTTAACGTTTGTGCTTAGTCCTGCGTAACATGTCTTAATTGTTCAGAATTGACATCCAATCAACTGTTTTATTTAGGGTTTTCAGGCCACATCTTTATCAGACCAAAAAATGTCGGAATTTTATAGACGATAATTTTTTCCCAAATATGCACCCTAAGAGAGCGTAAAACCTGTAATACTCAGTTTCACTGTCAGAAACATTACCACTGAGCCTTCGTTTTACTCTTTGAGCCAATTTCTAAAAAACCTATCCATCTATTATCTGATTATTAACTGTTTGTTTTTTACTATATAGGGAACAAGGAAAATATTTGGTTTAATTCGTGGAGAAAATATCGGTCTTCTGTTGGATTGTTCAGATGCAAATTTAGGCTTTGGCAGAGATAAGCAATTTAAACAACATTTAATTGAATTGGTTAATGAACAACTCACTGCAGACAAGTTGAAAACATTATACGTAGCAAGTTATGGAACAAATATAAACTCATTATGGCCATATCCAATGTCTGTAAATGCACGTGTAATAAATGAATTAAAGTATTTTATTAAAGAACAACTGGTACCATTGGGCGGATCAAATTTGTTGAGTGGTATAAAACATGTAAGATTTTTTTGCAGTAGGTCAAAGAAGAAATTGGTTTGTCTAAACTGTAAAAAGTGCAATTGTTCCGTCTCATTTGTGAACTGATGTTTTTTATTTGTGCTGAGTGATTCAAACTTTCCTAACACTATTGATAAATAATTTCCAACTGTATGGTTTTGCTTAGGGCAGAGTTATATTTTTTATTAAGGCCAAAGCAAAGTAATAATTGTTCGGATAACGCGCAACATCATGTTTTCAAGGAAAATATATGCCGATCAGGGAAATTCACTGGTAATCATCACTTATAAAATAAATGTCCTAGATTTGATTGAAATTAAGGATGGTAGTCATTGAGCATCATACTGGAAACGAAAATCTTGGAACCAATTAGATGTTTATCTCACTACTTTGATTACAGTTAGAATTCTGTTCCGATTGTTTACTTTCTAGACAGGATTAACTTTAGCTAGAAAGCAATTTAAAACAAGGTGACACAGGATGGCTGCTTCATCTTAGAATAGGACTTCTCAGGAAAACTCACTAATCACCCTCACCTCATTGATTGAACCCAAGACTTGTTGGCTTTATCTAACTTGTGATATAGCAACCCGTATTTCTTACTAAAAATCAAAACAGCTGACAGATTTAAAACACTGATGTAATAAAATAAACATCTTTTCTCATGCTACCTGATGAATAGTATTTTGAAATAATTCTAGAGAGGTAGATATGTAGTCTTTTTTTATATACGAAGGTAGTTCGTCAAACTACAGTCAGTAAAGCCCTGGAATGATGTCAGAAATTTTATATTCGTTTCAACTGTAGAATATAACTTACCTTTTAAATTTACATTAACACCGTTGGATGCCGGCTCAGTGGTCCTAAGGTCAGGCGTTCGCTTGCAAGACAAAAGGTCCTTGGATGCACACTGCTGATTAGTCCCATACCAGAACGAAACGGCCGTCCAGGTTTCGAATGATTGATTGATGATTTCAGTAATAAACAACAATCTCCATAACTATAAATGAAAAATAGTATTAATTTTAGTATATTGGTTTCGTGAAATGGAAAAATATGTTGGTTGATACTGACACTGTCTTAATACACTCATTGCAGACTTCTACCGTTGATAAATTAGTAATTAAACTATGTTAATTTTATTTTTAGTAAATATGAAGTTAAAATAATTAAAGATTACGAGTGTAGACTCAGAGCAAGGCTTTTCAACAATTCTGCAGAACTTCACAGCTTATGTCACAAATTGAAGTACATTTATATCTTTGCTGAATGTGACTGACTGAAACGAAAAGCACTAAATATGTAATCAATTACTATTTGATAATTACCATGCTATATATTCAATTCTGAGTTTTGAACGAAGTTCAGATAAAAAGAACGTGTTTTGGGTTTTTGATCACAGTAAAAATATACTACCTTAAGAGTTCACATTTACAGATGCATGACAGTCCTTGTTATAAAATTCGCCATGAACAAATATAGATGCTCTAGCTCAAATAAAATTTACTGAAGTAATTGTAATACACACCCTACAACGGCTTCATATATATATATATATATATCTTGATTTACAGTTTTATTTGTTTATATTATTCTTTAGATGATCATGTTTGGTAGGAAACAATTGGATACTATCGTTATTATATGTGGCAGTTATCCAGATCAACCTGCTATATTTATTCAACAATATTTAGAGCAAATACTTGCTGGTTTCACATCACCTCGACTACATTTAGTGGCATATGATTGCCATAATCCTGAAGTAAATCAACTGTTAGCTCAACTGGCCACAATAAAAACTGATTTCATATATCATTGTTATTTATCTGGGAATGAATCGGCTGTGTATACAAGTGATGAAATTGCTCGTCTTTTGAAAGAGATAGATGATGCACAGGTCGGTGTAAAATACTAAATTATTGTTCCCAAAATTTTTTTATTTTAATAAGTTACTAGGTTATAATGATGAATGTATTTCTGAAAGAACTGGAATTCTTTTTTTTGAAAGTACAAACGAACATCATCTTATCAGAAATCTTAGATATCAGCATAGGTTTTTGAGGACTCAAATATCGATATTCCTATCGCACCCGTTACGTTTTTATGGAATCTGTTCAAAGATCAGAGGAACAGAAAGCTTTCTGTTCTCTAACCTAATACTGTTTAATGAACGATATATCTGAGCTCAACGTGTATCTATTTATTATGGCATCCTTCAGTGTTATTCAACTCGTTAGCTCAAAAGATTGTCAGGTAAGATTAAAGTCAAGGAACATTCTTGTGTTATCAACCAGATAGGCTGATAAATACAGGCAAGCAGTCTACAGCAACACATATATCAGATTTAATGTTAGTTACATCGTCTGTGTATAAATAAGTTACCTACTATTCAACATCCACGTAACAGTCATCATGCGTGTGAGCAAATACAGTCAGTCAACCGGTATCATTGTTAGTTAGGAGGACTTATTCTGAATGAACTCTTAATAATTGATGCTGTCCGAGGAAACCAATATAAAAAATCTCCATTCCTGAATATTAGTTGAGAATTACCAATATCAGTATGTTATTTTATTCCTCCCTTCTCAAAAGCTTTAACAGACTGGGAAAACTTTCACAACGTATAAGCTCTATTTCGTGGTCATTTACATTTAGAAAACGGGTTGAATCTTAATTCCCAATACAGTATAACAACACTGATACCAAAACTAATAAGCACTTTTGCAGTTTAAGTTCTAATCATTATCGAATTGTAGTTGATACTGATTGATTTCGGAACTAACAAATGTACAGTTTTCCTTCATAGAATTCAAAGATTTCTCACTTGGATTTACTATGCATCGATGCACCGTCCTGTTATTACTTCTTGTTACAAGCATATATAGTAGTATAGAACAGCTCACTAAATGTGCTGGTTGTATTTTCAAATTTCCTTTTAATTAGTATTCTTTTGAATGAGTTTCCGTTCAATTCCAGTTCTGCTGAAGTTAACGCTGTAATTTGATCATTATTTATAACAAAATTGTGCTTTATTTATTCCTAGAAAGTTCTTGAAGTTGTTGGTCATCTAAGGAAAGAAATGGAGAGCTCATCTACCATCGCACAGCAAGCTGTAGATGAAATAAACATGGTATCCGATGCTATATGTAATTCTCCAGTATATTATCTACCTCAACCAACTAATACACGTTTACTACATGACAAACTTGAGTTGGATCACCTGCATAGGTATGTATTCATTATATTTCAAAACGTCTCATACTAATCCTTTATTTTACTTCAGACAGTGTAACAGACAATGGAAAACTTTTCAACCAACTTCTTCTGAAGTTTGGTTAAGTAAGCATGGGCTGAAGGCTCGCAAATTGAATTTATTCCAAGTAAGTTATTTTTCAATATACACCGATGGTTAGCTTATTAAAATTGGACAGTAATGATATGACTGCTTCCTTACGGAAACCTACGTCAAAGTCACATCACATGACAGTTACTTAGAATGGCCTACCCTAACATGGTGACCAGGCTATCCTGTCTCGAAAACAGATACAACAACCTTTCCAGGTGAACATTTTATTTAGTTATACAGAGGAGCATAACTTTTCACGAAGAGAGTGATTGCATCGTGGATTTCTACCGTGATATTTATTGATCCACCAGCGTTAGTTATACCTGACCTTGATTGTAAGAACTAAATAATTCGGCGTTCATTGATCAGTCCTCCAACGTAGAAACGATTACTTCGACAGATCGTATCATTTAAGGCTTCATTATATTTCACTTGCCCTACGAGTTGATGATAGTACTGGTCTTAAGATGCAAGTAGATTTTATTGAAAGGTCAAACTATAATAAAGCAGCTAAGTCTTTAATACTTATCTTATTTACATATTTAGTTACTTATTAGGAATTATTAAAGTTTTACCGATTTTAACTACCGAAAATAAGCGGACCAAAACAGATGACTTTTGATATTAGAGAATGATTTAAATTTGAAAAATCTATTTCATGAATATTTAACGTCTTTCAATTATTACTCAAACCTGTCAAATATGATCTTGAATTGTATATTATTTTTACATTTTAATTATTAGATTTTGGCACCAAATGCATATTCACAAGTTGTTGGTTATGTCCCATCAATTCAACGTTCTGTTAGTGCTCAAATACATGAAAATTGTATGGTTCAAGTTAGGTGGCTTGATGGATCAATAAAAAATGTTCATGTTGATCTTAATGAATTATATAAATATCAGTCACAAATAACAAATTTGGTAAGTATTGATCCCACAGTTGAACAGTGTGAGCTTCAAACTGACTTGAGACTGACTACCTACCGGTCAGTTATAAACCATATAATACCGGACACAAACGAACATCGGCGCCATTTGCCACACTACGTCAGCATGTCGACATGAAATTAGCAAGACAGATAATAAATAACTAGTAGTTATTTCTACGATTGTACAGAAACCTGAAATTTATGAAATATGGCTTCTTAAGTTGAGCGAAGGAATTTTCGAAATATAATGTTTGAAATAATGTTAAAACTAAAAATGTAAAAGAATTCCACTCGCGTTACTGAGACCTTTTTTCAATCATGTAACCAATTATCTCTAATTACTGGTCTTGATTATTATACAAGACCGAACCTGAAGGTAGGGAACCACTTTACAGGGATCCAACCAACAATCAATGATTTCAGCGGCTGATTCTGAATATTAATTTGATAGTTCCTGGCCTATTTTGGGTATAATTTCCGCTTTGAGAATCAACAAAGATAATGACTAAGTTTAAAGCCGCATCAGTTGACTGACCATACATGTTATTTAACATTAATGAAATTACAATGATATTAGTTTTTGTGTAGATTTTAATTGCTATTCAAATGATATTGCTGTGTGCTAAGGAAATTGTTTGCCCAATTTATTTAGGAAAATATTATCAAATGACTAGTGATTTTAAAGTACCTTGCCTTATTTCTTCGCGTTAAAAACAATGCGTATTCTTATCTTTAACTATGATCAATACCAAATGAACTATTTCAGCTTCATTTGACTATCGATGATAAATGACTTTTAGCTGTCAAAAAAATCATGATATGGTTTTAAAAAAATACATAAGATTCTCTTTTCTTAGAAATCCTCCTTTGAAAATTCTCTAATATACTTGGTTTTTGCGAAGGAAAACAAATAGTAACGTCACACTCAAGGATATTCATTTGGAATAAAAAGGATCACGGAAAAGCAACGGTAGTTGTTAAGAAATTAAATTATAATCAAGCTCTTGAATCTAAATTTACCGTTGGATATCAGGGAGGATTGAATAGCATTTTATGTTTTAGTTAGGACTCTTTTGTAGTGAGCAATTACTTCTAATGCAGGACCTTCAGGTTTCTTCACACGCAAGACATCTTTGAATTATTAAGTCGGAGTTCAATAATATACAAAGCGCATACTACTGCGCAATTCTGAACCTGAAATATTATTCAGTTGCCGTCCTGCTGCTAACATGAATGGTGGCTACTTCTAATGGTTTCTTAACAAAATATCAGAAAACTCATCTTAAAAGCTATACACTTGTCGGCGCACGTAATTATTAAATAAGTAATAATTTAGTCAGTTCATACACAGAAATTAGTTGAGGGTATTGTTAATGAAATGTCCCTCACTAATTTAAATAACAAACTATGACCTTAACCAGTTTTGATAAAAGGTTTCATTGTAAACTTTTCAAATTAGTTAAATACGTATTGATTGTCAACACATACCATCCAGAAATAAAACACTATTGGCTATGCCATTTTTTATGACCTGCTTTTGAATCTTTGAAGTAGTAGAGATCACCTCAGGAACTAAAATACAACTTCCAAGTGAATTTCATCAAAAATATGAACCATCAAAAAACGAGCACCGTTTAATTTAGACATTATGCAACTCACGAATTTTATGTACTATACAGTGTTGTAACATCAAATTAACTAGATTCAACTTGTAGCAAGTTTTATTTGAATTTTTGTTAATGAGCATTACTTTTTGATGTGTTTTGTTGAATTAATACATGACGTGTTATAACAAATAATCATATTTCACATAATATATATATTTCTTACTGTGAAATATTCACCTTTTACATTGATCAATAATAAGAACAACAAATTTCTATCTACTTGGAATAGTCAACTATGTTTAAGCTTCACTGATATTATCTTCCTTATTCATTCTTTTAACTAAGGTCGGATTATTAGAAAAACGAATTCACTGGTTGACTCAAAAAAGTCGTGGATACTTTGGTACTCTCATAGAATCGAATGTAGTCATTTTAATTGATTTATCAAAGTATAATACTATCTATATGGTGCATATACACTATTGTTTACGTCATTTACTTGAAGAGCAAATTTCAACGAAATCTAAATTTAATTTAATTGTATTTGGTTCAAATTCTACAGCTTTTCAATCATATTTAATTGATGTGAATGCTAATAATTTACAAGCATCATGGGATTGGTTTAAGACCCAACATTGCAATGGAAGTCGTAATTTATTGAGTGCTTTGAGGTTGGTGTACACAGTTTTGACATTATTAAACAAAATCATTTTTTTTATTTTCTAGAGGAAATTCAACTAGTTGAATTTGAGTTCCGTGAAAAATTGATATCAACTTGAGTAACCGCTGGAAACAGGAGAACAATAATACAGTCCTGTGGTCTAGTATACAGCTATGCAACAGTATTTCATAACACTCCCATAGTTAATGTAAATCAGCATCTTTAGATTTCACAGCGAGGGTATTACTAAGTAGTAACCCAATGCTCCACATTTCCTACTTCAATAGTGTACCATCTTTGCTTTATACTATATTTTTTAAACAAAACAGGTAACTCTTTAGTGATAATTTCAGAGAACTATCGTGAAGGATTTATTTTTGTTTTGTTAGATACTTTATCAATCAAGTTAGATCCTAACTGATCTATTGCAGTTAGAACCAAAGAACAAAGAAGTGTAGTCATTACTGTCTGCTGAGGAATGTTTGCGTGTGTACACTACAACATTGATAAGTAGTGTTTATCAAACTAGATGGACTTTCACTGACAATTGTTTACTGTTAATTAATACAGATTTTGAGTTACATAAAACATGCCTCTTATCATTTTAAACATATTCTAAGGATGGACACATATTTCGTGATATTTTATTCAACACTAATAGTTGATGAAATTCAGCTCATTTCAACTAACACTATTAGAAAAACGATGACTCAGGTAAACTAAAGAATAAAAAGAAAATTCCAGAGTTAAATAATTGACAAGATCTGGCGATATTGTACTACATGCTCGATTTCGAACAAGATAAGAACTATGCCCAGCCTATATACCATTATCTATCTTTAGAAATGCGATTAAATTGATCATCACTGCATGCTAGAACAAGCGATTTCTTGTAGACCAGCTACCCAAAAATATACGAAAAACTAATTGGTAACTAACCGCATAGTGTATACGTTTATCGTTTTCTTCAATTAACGGTAAATCTTCATGGAAATAGGGAACGAAATGTTCAAATAATTCTATTGCATATTTTATCATTACAAATGAGTGTTTTTATTAGTTTGTCGCAAAGCTTTCGGTCAGTGTGATGAAATATGTTTTAATCAAGAAACTCGAATGGAGCTCAGAATCAAGATCAGTAAAATTTCTCTTGATTGAACAAGTGAGATAGAGTCAAAGGGCTTTGTTACTACGTTATTTTTATTTTTGGAGGATTCGCAGTCCGCACCACACCACTTTAGTTATTATCTGTAGATCAGTTGGTATGGATATCTGAGTTACATGATAGAGTCAAAACCCTGGCATACTATGCTAGCCAGCATTGAAGATAATTGAAAGGCAAGTAAGAGATGGACAATAAAAGTCTTACTCTGCTCCATACTGCTCGTTTTACCAAACTGTATACATAATGTTATCTGTTTGAAATATAATATAAGTAATTTATTTGAATTACATATATGAACAAGTTGAAAACCTGTCAATCACGTAGTTTGATTGAAATGATGATAACGATAGATTCTCCATTTTCATGATAGTTAGGAATAAATAATACTTGATGATGCCCTACGATTTGGTTGCAGCCGTATCATTATATCATCATTTTGTCAAATGCCATCATCATTTACAACCAGAAAAACCAGTAAAAAAATAACATTTCGATTCATTGGCTTTGTAGTTTCCATTGTTATTGTTATCATGTTTGCAGATTAGTGTTTGAAAGTCAGTCAGAAAAAGATTTGGTTGAATCGAATTTAGGAATTTATATATTTACATCAGGTATACCTGATCAAGATAGTGAAGTGATTTCATCGTATGTGGAAGCTAAACTCTGTACATTTATAAACACTCACGTACATATAGCGTTATATCATGTGGACAATATCGTTACAGATAAACAGTTGCCAATTCGTTATGCAAATACTACAGAAACTGCGAATTCTTTACGGTAAATCTAAAATTATTACCATTTAAACTGTATGCGAATTTATTATTCAATGTGATTTTAACTACTATGTATGAAAGTCAATAAAAAAGATAGTTGAAGTCTTTTTAAGTAGATTATTTTAGTCCCCAACTAAAATTAGCCGTGACAATCATTAATTACAAGAAAAACACAAAATGGTTAGATCATTGTGTTTGATGATTCTTTAACAATGAACACCCATGACTTCACACAGAAACCGACTTAGAACTCTCAGATCCCATGATTATCAGGATACTCTAGAAACCAATGAGTTGGAGTTCATTAGAGCATAATTCTTATCGAATGTCATTAGTGATTGTCTCACCACCAAGTTGATCAATCTCGTAGGCTACTAGTTTCCACTAGCACTTCGAAAAATCTCTTCCACAGATCAGCTAGAGAGCTAAACAACAAATCTTTGCACAAGAAAAAACTTTCATTATACAGCCCAAAAACTGAAATGGGATTGTTGTCTGTCATGAAAAAACCCGATGTATATAAGAAAGTCAGCCAAAATCTGCATGACAGCCCCTATCCGAACTATGCTGTTTCATCGCGTTTTCAAGTTCCTTACTAGTGTAAATTTAAATATTCTGTTTTAAAAATTTTTACTTTAGGCTGGTAGACCGAGGTTTGCGGGTTCGAAAACTGTAACTGCCATGTTTTCTTTATTCCACTCATCAGCCTATGGATTTATCTTGTGTAATTAACAACCTGTCATTTGCCTACTCTAACTTTCCTGTCCTCCAACTAAACCGAGAAGCCCTGATTGTGTATGTTTCCATTTCCATTCACGCCTGCTACCCTTCATGGAGCAGAGGCCGCTGACTAGGATTTTCCAACGGACTCTGTCCTGAGATCGATTTTCTGGTTTTTCCCAAAAGATATTCATCCTTTCCATATATGTCTAAAATTCCCAGCGTATTGTGTTCTGTGGTCTCTCTCTTTATTGTGGCATTGGAGGATTCTAAATTAGGGTCTACTTTGTGATGCAGTATGCAGAGGCAAAATATGCCATCATTACGCATGAAGGTTCCGCGCAAATCTCGATAACTAAGCTGAATTTAAAATTCTATTATCAATCTATTAAGCTCTGCTTCATCAGTATAGGCGCTGGTAATTCTAGTTACCCATTTAGTTTTTTTTTCTATCAAATTGAAAACAATGCTGTCCCACGGTCTGGATGGAAAAACCTACTTTACCAAGTGTAATTCTCAGTCTAATGATCAACAAAGATTTTTGAAAGGGTATGCATTAGGTGTATGACAAGTATAACAGTTATAACAGTTGAATTCAAATAACATGGAGTGTGCATTTAAAACTTGATTAGAATCCCCAACATTATTCAGACAATAAGTCAACCTAATTAACGTATGCAGAAAAGGATAGTTGGTTTATAATATATACGTTCAAACCAAATTTTACCATTTGTTCATTGAATACTGTTGCCAGGATGCGTCAGTTAGGTGTCTTATACTTTCAATTTTGGACAACATAAAATTTTTATAGTGTATTTTAATTTTCTGTATCATAATCTTCGTTATATTTTACATCATAACTCTCTTCAGTAAAATAGCTCATTCAACCCCGAATGGACGTTTTCACTGGTTTCGTGAAAATGGTATCATTGAAAGTGATGATGTTTGTGTCTTATTGGATGAAATAGACGAGGCAATCAGCTATTCAAAACAAGCACAATTACTTATCTCATCAATCTCGGATAAACGAGTCGGATCAGAGTAAGTCGAATCTGAATAAATCAAAAAATATATTTTTAAAACAATAAACGATCAATTATCTGGATGAGTAAAATGGGATAATCAACAGCTTCACATGACAAATAAATGGGTGATGTAATCTAAAATAAAGATAAGACAGACTAACAAAGGTTATAACATTTTTTAGGAATCAATACACTGACATAAAATTATGAAATAGAAGGTTATGAGGTAACCCGCTAATTAATGAAGTTGTTACTACCTTAACTTTGTAAGAAAACCTATGCTTTCTATGACATTTGTCTGATTACTTACTTACTTACGCCTGTCACCCCCAATGGAGAATAGCCCGCCCACCAGTTTTCTCAAACCAACTCTGTCCTGGGCTTCCCTTTCCAGTTCTATTCAATTTTTGTTCATTCTTCTCATATCTTTCTCTATTCCTCAGCGTATTGTGTTCCTTGGTCTTCCTCTTTTCCTTTTGCCTTGAGAGTTCCAAGTGAGGGTTTGTCTTGTGACGCAGTTAGGTGCTTTTCGTAGTGTGTGTCCTATCCACTTCCTCCTTCATCCAGGCTTGGGACCGGCAGTAGCCCCGAAGGGTCTACAGGCGGAGTTATTTGTCTGGTTACCGTAAATTAATTATATAGTGTTAATTTGTTAAATTTTAAAAAGTGTAAGTAAACTACCTACGTCAATTGTAATCAACTTGGTTTACAGAGTTGAACTCATCAACCACTGTATAATGGCTTCCAGTTTAAAACTTTGGCTTAGTTCACATACATTCATTCATTTATTATCTCCAATTAACTAAAATATCAAATGGTACTTAATAAAAGCGTCATCAAAAAGTTGTCATGAATGCTCACTGAGAATAAATAAATAAATAGTGATTCTAAGTTTTGTTAGTAATTTTTACATTGAATGGATTTCTTTTACAAAAATCTCAGTCATTTTGCGCCTTAAAGTCTACAGGAAATATTTTACAGCAGAATGCATACACTAAATGTAAACGGCATAGAGAAAAGGTGAATTCACCGAACGTCATATTTGATACTACATGGTTCAAAACGATCTCAGAGGCTCTGGATATATACTGTGTGATAGCGGGCACCTGTTTGTAAAGAGCACCTAAAATCCAAAGGGAATTGATCCACCCGGTCGGAATTAAACCCACATCTTCCAGTGCCATGGAGAAGTTGCAGTTGCCAGAGAGCCACACAGGCAGCTTTAGGTCTGTTGTAAATTCTTGCTAATTAACGTTAATCTTTTATTCCGTAATGATCAGTGTTATGCCTAGTTTTTATATCTGGCATCAAATCTAGGCTCAGGGCTTCCTTTCGATTGATTCCATTCACTTAATATCAAAGGAAGTGCAAATAGAGGTTCAGTTACTCAAATGAGTAGTCGTATTGAAAACACCAATTGACAAGATTCCGTTCACAGTAAAGGTTAGATAATATGATATCTTTTAATATTCACCGACAACTGTACACCTTGTGCTCTTAAATAAAATGCTTCCAATCAGTCTGCTGTAAATAATATGGCAACACAACCAAAACAACCAGCTCAGAGAACGAAACACCACCACAATCATCCACCTGAGCTACAAGTTTTCTCCACCATCTCAAAATCATATGAGCGTGATACGCTTCACATTGTTCGAAAATGGGAGAATTTCGCCAAAAGGCAAGCTTCCACTCGAGAACAACTGTTTTTTCTCCACGAATGTCTTCGTCAGCATGTTCTGCCAACAAGTGTCAGATATAGACCACCAACACAACCAAAACAACCAGCTCAGAGAACGAAACACCACCACAATCATCCACTTGAGCTACAAGTTTTCTCCACCATCTCACTAACAAAGTCCATACATTTCTAGTTAATCCAAAATTACTTAGGATATAATACAATACTATATCTTATGACGGTTACCACTAGCCGATTTTTCGTAAACACTGCTTAAGTGAACCACCAGTAATACGACTGATAAGTCGTAAGTAAACCTAATGGACTATTTTTGAAGCAAATAAACATTATATATATATATATACTTCAAACTAACGACTCAATTTTTATTCATTTTTACGTTAATTTAATTTTTTAATGATCAGATACCTTTTTTTTAAACAATATTGAAATACTTAGAGTTGATCCAAAGTCTGATAAAAGCATAGTTCCAAAGAGTACTAGTACGACTAATCAGTTAATGGGTGGGGGGGATCCTTTAAATCAGATTGAACCACGTTTAAACTTATTGACATTGGCTCGAAAAGAAGCTATTCAAGCAAAAATAAAAGGTGTAACCACTGACAATGATTCATGTCCAAAAGCTGTAACATGGTATCAAGAAATAAATAATAATGACAAGACACAACCCAATCATGTGAGAAGTAAAATTTCTGGACGTAAAAAGCCCAATATCCCAGTAAAACAAACTCGAACTAAACGATTTATCTGTCAAATACCTACGCATGAAGAAAGAGTATGTATTTTTGAGTAGTTGCTCCATCTTTTAATTATGTATGAATTACAGTTCTTTTTACTATAAATGTTTGGTGATAGCTAATTTTGTGTTACCTTATCTACCTTTATTCGACAGTTATAATTCATTGGGTCACAAAACCCACATTTTCAAGAATCAAAACATTATTTTCTCAAATAATGTGCAACAGTAGCGATCAGTTGTTTCATGCAAACATTTTATTCGCTAAACATCCTCGGAACAAGTTATGCGACTCGTAACTTAGTGTTCAAGTAAATTTATATTTACAGTTTAAAAGAGAGGGTACTAAATTCTATTCCCACTGTTGCCTACTTAAGCCTGTTACCCCTAGTGCAGTAAAGGCGCCGATCAGCATTTTTCAATCAACTCTGTCCTGAGATCTCTTCTCCAGTTGTTTCCAAGTTATATCCATTCTTTTGACGATGCATCCGATTCCCGGGTCAATGTGCTTTTTGGTCTTCCTCTTTTCCCTTATCCTTGTAGAATCCGCAATAATCTATTCCTTATTATGGTGCTTTTTATTTACAAAAATCCTATAACAAGCTGATGCCAGTTATCCTTTAATCCCTTTTCATTTGTTCTTCGTGGTAGTTTCCTCTTCACCCAATGGATTTTGAAAGGCTTGGAGCTTGTTGCTGAGAGGTAACTTGAATTGGTTGAGCTTTCTAGTTTCCCAAAGAAAGGCCGTATTGAACCATTTTGATGTTATCCGTCCAGTTTTCAAGTGCTTCTTTAGTTTCACTTTCATCTTGACCACCACCAAGTGATGATGTGAAGCTATTTCGGCTCCTCTATTTTTTCTTACGTCTTCCATCGTCCTTGTGAACTTTTTATTGACTTAGGTGTAGTCGATTTGGTTCTCCATAGTGTGACCTTGTGAAATGCATGAAGATTTATGTATGCGTTTTTGTGAGAATAACCATTTTGTTGAAGGCACATAGATTTGAGAATCTCTCACAATTTTCATTCCTTTCTTCCAGTCCATGTCGTCCCCTGATGTTTTCATATCCAGTGATTTCTATTACAGCCTTGGCGTTCAGTTCTCCAATCAAAAAAATAAATTCGTATGCTGCTCACTTCTCGAAGATCGACTGCTATCAATCCTTGAACTGATCATTATCGTCTTCATTGTTATCGTTGGTGGAAGCATAGCACTGAATGATATTCATTGAAATCTCCTCCTTCTTTGTCTTTACGGATGACTTGATGATTCTGGGTTCATGAGATTCCTATCCCATAAGTGTTTTTTGGGCTTCTTTGGATAGCATTAGTGCAACCCTTGGTGAGTGTGTCAATCATTTTCTTCTTTATGGCTGCAGCAGAGCAGCATCTCTCCTCAAGTATATCATTTCCAGCCTCCGTTCTATGGGTTTCATCTATTACAAGCACCACCAAGTTGCATCTTTTCATTGCCGCAACGACTTGAATGGTTCTCCCGGTCTCCCACATTGTGCGAGCATTCTACGTATCTTTATTGATTGTTGCTCTGGTTGTGAGAAAGAGTATCGCCATGTTGATTTCCAAAGAAAGTAAGCTTTCATCGTAAGGCATCATAATTCTTTTGAATGAAGATCTTCTAGCTCCCACGCTAGAGTTTCAATCATTTTCTTGGTCATTTTTTCTGTCAGTTTATTTTTTACTGTATGGCATTACTAACCCTAAGACTAACCCTCCTGCTTTATCCGGGCTCGGGATTGGCAATGGGGCGCAGGGAGGATTAATCTCTCTCTATAATACATATATTCTTTTAAATCGGTTTTCACCACACTGAAATTTGTTTGATATTAAGTTTTATCAGGTTTCTAGAAATCACTGTTACTATACTAGAAATAAAATGTGTTTCTCAATAGCTATCTATCTAATTTACCTAAAGTCCTCATTGACGTTGAATCGTCACACGACTCATGCTCCTTTCAATGATAAAATGAAAATAGAATTATGAATAGCCTGATTATCCTATGGCTTCTTTTTTCACTAACACAGTATATGCCAACTGTGCTAGCTGAAAATCATAAGTTTACCAGTAATCCTTTATTTTTATTTGTTTCATTTATCTTGGGCAGCTTACAAGTCGTGAGTGGTTACGTAAATATAGTATTCGTAGTTTGGGACTTAATTTAACACGTCTTACATCTGGAATGGATTGTAAACATGAAATGTCCTTTGTGAATTCCACTCGATCAGTGGTTCATGCACGTTACTGTAGCGGGTTATTTCCTCTTGTAAATGTGGCTGGGACTCTTCGGCATCTTCAGTATTCTTTAGATGAACTAAAAACCTTCGAACAAAAGGTTAGTTGTATATATATATATATATATATATATATATATATATATATATTTCTTTTTCATTGGCTGAAGTCTTTTTCTTCCAGTAAATTCTAAAGATATTGGGCAGTTGTTGTGCACTTATGAGAAGAACCAAACTTGAACACAATAACTGTCAACTACCTTTAATTTCTCATTAGTTTCCTAGCTGAAATCAGCCTATCATACAAACCACAGTATGAAATATTTGAGAAAGCTTGAGGATAATTGCCGTTGAAAACATTTCAAGTGCTTAGACTCTTCACAAGTAGAAGCTAGTTTTTATTCAGTTATTTTTTTCTGATTATTTCGTTAAATTTATAAGTGGTCTTAAATCTACTTCATGGGACAGAAATAATGATAATAATGACTAGAACAAAATTAAACTAGGGTGGGTTTTTTTAAATCTGTAAAAGTCAGAAATTTTTAAGTTCAAATAAAGAAATATACAAAACCCCCAAAATCAGAATGAACTCTTGGTCACCCCCCGTTGAAATCAAACTAGTAAATATTTATGTACTTAAAACCTAAAATACCGTATTTTTGTAAAAGTAAAGAAAAATACATATTTTGAATTTTCAAACAACCTATCTAACTTCTTATTGATGTTTTCTATGGGGAATTAGATCTTTATCTGTAAATCACCTTTAATGACCTTTATCAAATCCAGGATAATAAAAAACAAGAACTAAAAATTGACATAACTTCTTTTGTAATTCTTGTAATCAGATAGCTGATGTGTGTGTGATACAATACATATCCTGTGATAAGGATTAATTACTCTTAATCAGTTTTTACGCAAATCTTGAAAACACTTTTCATCATAAACAGACATTAGCTAAAGAACAACCTAAAAACCAAAAGACACTAGATGTGTGTTTCATTTTAGTCTAGAATTCTTCAACTATTGAATATCTTTTCTCGATTTACACAAATTCAGTTTTCGACCTACTTTCGCTAAGCAGTTTCGAATTCATATTTTTGTACATAGCTTAAAACTTTGGTATGTCAGGTACTGGAAAGCTGGAATGAAAATACAACAGCATATTTCCCTCATGCATCTAATATATCATAAATGAAAGATATTGTTGCTAAGTGTAGGAAAGTTTGGACATTCGATGTAAGTAACAAATACCGAAAATTCTGAAAAATGTTTTACTCAAAAACTACTATGTAAATATATGCTGGACAGGAACTATTTGCGATACTGCGTAAATCGCACTGATGATTCCTTTCAATTAAACTCAATAATCTCCACAACTCTGTGTTGACAATTATCATGTGCTCACTAGTGACTAGATTCGTGAGGGAATTCTCGGATTTCGAGTGAGAAGTCGTGACCACTGGAGTTCGACCGTGTCGGGTGTAAATATAGTTACCCACCGAAGGCAATGGATGATGGTCAAGCAGCATCTTGGATTGGTTGAAGTTAGACATTAACACCGTTCCATATCGACTCGAAGGCCAAGGTATTGAGCGCTCGCGTGCGTGACCGCAGCTCTTGGTTTCGATTCCCATTTGCTGGGTCGTGGGTGCGCATTATACCAGGAAAAAACAGCCGTCCAGTTCTTCAAGGCATCTAATAAAGGTTTAACACTGATCAGTCCATGATTTGAATTTAGTTTGAGACGTTTGGTCAATATAATTGTAACTTGAAAGAATTACACATCGTATCCAATAGTTCTCTAATTGAGGTTAGTTCGTCATGTTTTAGCTGAAAAATTGTTTCGTACAGCCTTTCTACTCAAAAAACTGATGTAGTAATTATCTAAAATACTATTAAAATGGTATGAAACAGATTTTTCCGAAAAATTTAGAATCATCAGCCAGAAAAATATCGTTGCAAAACTTGCAGATGATCATCAAAGAACTTTCGCCCTCATATTAAAAGATTTATAATAACGTATCACTGAAAATAAAACGGCATTTATGTATTCAAATAATTCAGTTCATCAGTTGATTATATCTGATGATTGGCATAGAATGTAAGGTACATTCCGTTCTGTCTGTTTCAGCTGAAATTCTTATTAATTTCATTCCGATTAGAATTCAGTACTCCATGTTATAAACATCAAACTGTTATCCATTATTTTTCCATCCGAAACTTTCTCTAATCTGACCACTAAAAAGTAACTGTGAAACCCAATCATTATATGTAAAAGGAGTCATTTAAAAATCAACTTAGCTTTTTTGAAATTAACCACAAATTTTTCTTTCATGATACTTCATATGACCTGATTATTTTTTCTAGTAATCAATCAAATTTATAGTTTATCCAGGAAATTTGTGTATAATTACAATTATTAGCTAGAACTTATTTCCTTTCTTGTATTTGATTAGTTGAACTTATTATTGGTCAACTAACAGTTCTATTATTTGATACGTATTCTCTCTATTCGGCCATATTACACTGATAATTTCTTACTGGTATGAGTTGACATTCGACCTTTACTGTTGAGATCATACCCTTAAAAGTGCGTTTCACCTGAACAAGCCATGGGTTGTGGGGAAGTTACCCACAGAAGGCAATGCATGATGGTCACTCAGTATCGTGTACTGGTTAAACTTGGATTCGTTTTTCATGGGATAAGTGTTCAGAGATTTGATTGTTAGGCGTTCACATGTGGAACCTTAGGTCCTGGGTTCGATTCTCGATATTCCGTATGTGGATGCTCACTAGTGAGTAATTCCATACCAGAATGAGACGGTCGTCCACAGCTTTCAGGTTTTCAATGGTTTTCTAACACAGACTGGTTCGTGATATCAACAAAATCACTAGCTGTTGCAGAACCAGTTTTCATTTATAGATTTTCACTGGTTTATAATCCGAGAGACTAAGGAGATCTTTTGTTTGATTCCACCTCGAGTGTGTTGTGTGCATATTAAATTTACTGTAATACAAACATTTTCAAGCCCAGAAGAACCAACATTTTACTGAATCTAATAAAATAAACGAGCAATTAATAAAGAACAATATATTTCTGTCTGTCCAAGTAGTGGCTGGTTGTCATACTTAATAATAAATAGTCCATGACACATAGAAGGTGAAAATAAAACCCTGAAGACATCATATTAAATAACTTGTTAAACTCAAGAGAATTGTGAAATAAGACAGCTACTATGCATCTCTGCTATTATAACAGTTATTAAAATTCATTTAACTATACACTTCTACTCATTATAAAAGTACTATTATACTACATTTATGGGGTCAGCAAATTAATTAAAATGCATCAGGTACTCTGACTTGAAATTCATGAAAAATGTTTATTCATTCTTGCTGTTTATAGACTTTTTCTGTTTTCAAAACAAATACAAAACGTTATCTAGGTAACCGAAGCACTAAAACGCTATATCAGACGTTACGAATGGTTAACGTCAGGATCGAGGAAATATTTTGGTCTGATACGTGAAGAATGTATTGTCATTTTGATTGATACATCCGGTTCAATAGGTCCTAAAATGAATGAAATAAAAACTTATCTAAAGCTTTTAATATGGGAACAATTGCACAAGTAAGTTTCTTTAATTTCCTTTTCTGACATCGTTCCTACAAGTTTTAAGTATTAAATAGGTGTATGTCAACCACTAGAACCCAATAGAGTAGATTCTATGATATCAAGATAGGTGTCAGACTGGAAAATTTTGAGTTAGATCCTTTCTCAGGTTAATACGTAAACCGACAGACATTGAGGCCACAAAACCTGAGATCCTTTCTAACTTCAGTGACTGAGGTTTAGTCTCACGATTTCTTGATGTCGTTAAATCGACTCATTCTACCATAGGATAATTAATAAAAATCTGGAGTTTTTCTATGTAATTATCTATAGTATCACGATTAATAATAGATCTAAGTCAGTCGCCACCGTAAATGAAACTCAGAACATTCTGTCTTGCATATAAGCAAAGTACTGGCTGAAGACAATGAATAATGATCACATAAATAATTGGAGTTATATTTGTATGCCACTTCGGCCCAATAGTCTAGAGAATAAGCATTCATGTGCGAGACTGAAGATCCTCAGATCGTGGATGTACACTGATGATTTCCAGTTCATATCTGACTTACATGATCGTGATCTCAATAGCGTTTAACAAATTTCCGTAACTTCATTCCGTCAATCAAATGATTTTTATTATATTCTCCAGAATTCCGAATAACATTTCACACCGAATCATTTCTGTGACATCCATATCCTCTTACATTGATTTATATCATAACAGTAATTGGACGTTTTACAAGTTAAAAAAAATAGCATAGGAGTAAGTTGGAAAAGGCATAGAAACAATCAAAAAAGACATCAGATCAATCTATGAAGTCATTGGTTATTGGTTTGAACCGAACAGACAAGTAAATAGGTTGAGAGTGGGGTTCATCTAACAACCCTGATCGACAGTTGTAGATGATAGATTTAGGTTTATTGAGATCATATAGATGTGTTCATGCGGAATATCTTTATTTTTACATTCTAAGTCTTGATAGTATTCATTGCATTTTATTCCGACAATTCATCTTTCTTTGCTAACCTTATTATCTATGTCTAATAAAACTACCATTACTTTATCTTCTTGCTTATGTATCTTGTTCATTTCATGTCTGTATTAACATCTACTGATGAACAGACACAATACACAATTGTACGAGATCCTACGCTGTTTATAAATAAGTGACTTACTGGGATAATTTTTTTTTCCCTTTCGTTTGTCACTTAACAAATTTATATATTGGTTTACAGTTCATATTCCACGAAAGTCTGTGACTCTGTAGCTAATCACTAATACATATAATTCCTTTTACAATAATATCTCAAGTCCAAACAACTTGTAGAAGCTAGGTCAGCATACTAGTTAGATAATATTGACGTAATGGTGGGCAATTATAATTTTTCATATTTGTTTTCATCTGTTTTTTATAGGAACAAGGTGTTTTTCAACTTGATTAGTTTCAGTAGCGCATTACTTGAATGGCAGGTTTCCGGTGTAGTATTGGCAGATGAAGGAAACTGTCATGATGCCATAGCATGGATCGATCAACTGAAGGCTATTGGTGGTACGTGTACCGGTGAAGCTATTCTATGTGGTTTAAATCACTTACAAATTATGAATTCATCAAATATCACAGAAATGTATGATGTTAACTTCAATAAACTGACTAAAGGGATCTATTTAATTACAGACGGTAAACCGGATGTTAGCTGCTCTTCATTGATTAAAAAAATTGCAGAAGTTTGGAACCTCAATCCTGATAGTAACGTTGACTTACAAGATACAAAAATAACAAAAAACTCCAAAACATTGAATGATATGACAAATAAAAATGATGAAATTAAACATACAAAAACTTCTAAACTAGTACAACTGTACAAATATCCACCAATACACACAATCTCTTATACAAATGATCAGTAAGTCGATATTTTATTCCTACACCGTTTCTGCGTAGATTCTATTTTTTTGTTTAAGAAAATATGAATTTCTAGCATCGATAGATTTTTGCATAAAGTTATCGAGGAGTTGTAGTTACGAAGTTTCCGACTTTACTGAACTTAGTACAACTAGGGTCTATCACACCTATCCTCAATAAGGGATGCACTCAGTAAACTTTAACTGCCAATCGAGTAAAGACAAGAAAGAACCTAATTGGGGAAAGTAAAGAAATTGGTGAAAATCACTCACTATATAGATGATTTTAATGAATAGTCATTTCGGCAGTGATGCATATATTCAGTATTTTGCTTTTAGTCAGCGGATTATTACCTCTTAAAAATCTGGTACGACCATACTGAAGAAGCTAATGAAATGAATGCAGGTATAAACGTATGGTTGCAATACAAAGCATTAGTTAAATGCTAATAAATTGTGACCACTTACTATTCTTCTGTTCATTTCATTATTTCAAATAACTAACTGATCTAAAATATTCAAAACCTATTAAAATATCATCAAAAAATAACGACTTAAGGTGAAATGAATTATTTTACTACATATTCCCTGCATTTACATTGACATATCCTGTAGTAAAGAAGTTCCATTAGTAATATTAAGAGTTAACATTATTCTACTAGACTTATCAGTCTAATCATATCAAGCTCCAAACCATAAATCGATTAACGTACATACATACAGTTGTTTTAGTTAAATTTTTCAAAAATAGCTTGAAAATCTATTCTTTTCTTATCCTTCATTTCTCCTCATTCAATTACTTTCTGTTAGGACTGCCTCATCATTTCTGAAAAAGTTATCAAACCTAACTAATGGACGTTTTCATACTTCTCTGGACATTTCATCAACTAATGCGTTTTTGGACTATTTACTACAGTCTTTGTCTAAAATGGACACAAGTGAAAATGATATATCCACACATCAAAAGGATATTTCGTCATTTCCTAATATTCAGTCAGATGATATCAGATTAATACAGAAAGAAATTCGAACAACTTATCGAACATTGGTTTGTCTAAAATATTTTCAGGATGTATATAAGGAAACAAAATCTCTTCGAAAGTAACAATCAGTGGACTTGGACTATTTTAACTCATTTTAATACATGTATCTTTCGTTTAAATCTGTTTTTTAAATACCATTCTCTAGTCGACAGAATAATTTAGGAGAGTAAAACTTTGTACAAAATGCACCCACTTGATTATCGCACTTACTAAAAGTAGGTAATCACAGCAAAATAAATGTGAGCGGAAGGAAAAGCAAGCTGATTGTTTGTGAAAAGTCAGAAGTCCTCTACAGTATCTTAATATAATGACAATGATCACAGGTGCTATCAGACTGTTTATAGTGGATTTATCAAGTCAACATTTTCATTAAACTAAATTCGATATGAGAGATCGATCAGAGTGCACCAAGGCTACATAAATTTTAATTGTTACTTCAATTTGAGAATTTAGTATACTTTCATTTGTGGACCAATGATTTTTTTTTAACTATTCTACTTTTGCAACAGTAGACAAAATTATCCGGCGTTGAGATGAATTAAGATTTCCATTTTACTCTGTTACTAAGTCATAAAAATAGACCGACTCAACAATAAGCCAAACTAACTACCATAAGATGCAGGAAAACCCACTAATATGTGATGTTAAACAATATGGCATCGACACATAATCATTAGCTTTATTTCTAGTAGTATCATCCATAGTTATTAACTTGTTGTTTAACAACTAACTCAGAATCATATCACTCCAACGGAATACCTTGTCTATCAATTTTTAATTGAATTATGACGAAAATACAAGGTTGAACAATTAGAACAAATAACAAAGTGTGAAGCAGTTAGTCCTCGAAGTCAGAGGACTTCTTTATTCGCTTGACTTTTCACAAAGGAAAATGCACAACAGTGAAGCATTTAAAGTAAATAACAATTCATATAGTCATTTAATATGGTGAACAGTTGCTTTAATTTCATAGTGTATATTATCAGATCCTTGGTAAGCTTACGTGTACTACTTATTTGCAAAGCCTTTCTTGGGACGTGATAATGTACAAAGACAAATGCACTTGAACCATTAGTCGATTCTGTAATCTAAATATACATGGTTCAGTCTTAGCGACAGAAAACTCACGAACAAACAGAAAGTTGCACGCAAGTGTTTCCTTTTCACCAATTGCGTTTTCGACTACAAAATCATTAGGAAATATGTTTGGAATATTATCCACCCATTTGTAACCTGGCCTTTGAATTCACTTGTTGTTTTAAAGGAACGATATAATTGTGAAATGTTTACTTCGCAACTGCAGAATTTGGCATTGATGTCCCAAATTGACAATATGCAAGTGAATAATAAAATAACAGATGGGTGTGAAAACGTTTAGAAAAGAAATCCAACGTCAGTATGTCAGCTTTTAAAACGAATAAAACTGTTTAGAATGAGTGGTATTCGCCAAAGATGTCTGCAAGAAAAGTTTTGATTATACCGGAACAATTCACCCCAAGACTGATAAGCATTAAGATTCATTCTCGTTAAAAATCATAACAATACATAAGTTTGTTGCTTAATGGATTGAATAAATTCTATCAACGTCGATTTAATATTCGCATGGATGGCGACTGACTACATAGTTAAAGTATTTGTGAAAATTGACGTCAGAGAGCCAAAACACTTCGTACTGGAATGATCACGATTCTGAAAATAATTCCATAAAATCTAACATTCGTATGAAATCCCCGAACTCTCTTTGATATTCTCCCATAGTTGTTGTGTCAACGTAAATCGAATCAGGTGTGAGACGAGTAATGGAATGACCAGTTAGCACAGAAACTACCCAAATATTTTATTTAACAGCGGACTAAGTCTTTGATGTTCATGTTAGTTTTGTTATTCATATTGCTGTTAATGTGGCGAAGTCGGACATATGGGCTAAGATTTACAAATTCCAAGGCATTTACTACGAAAACCTATTATGGTTCCTCGCTGGAATCAGCTAATTCATACAAAGGATGGTTTCCTTGTCAGTTAGTACTTTTACCAACATCACCTCACACTATCCGGTTGTTACTCATTCAGCCCGAAGACTTGGTTTCATTTCTTATTTAATCCAGTAACCGGAAGGAAAACCGAATTTTTTTTCCATCTAAAACCTACAAGCAGTTAAACTGGCAATAGTTTTTCTTTAAGTATTGATACGCTGCAGCAATCCAATCGTACATAATATTCCGGACATCAATGCTCTAGAATCTATAAAGCCTAAGTTGCGAAAATCCAACAATATAACACACGTACTATATGCCTGTGCACAAGACTAAAAAAGCCACCTTGACATGCATTCAGCAAAACTACGTAAATTCAACACATCTGTAGAAGCAACTGAATTTCTGACTTCTCCGAATGCAACTAGACAAAAACGGGTTTGCAGGAATGTTAAAATTCGACCAGAACACCATTTGAACGAAAGGCAGGGAGAACTAATTATAGACCACTAGTATCAAAGTACCATGCCTATCTAAATCATGAAGGTCGTGGTATTCAGGCTAACTCCAAAGAATTCTCTGACCATACAAATATACCACCATTGATAAATTCACTCGAATCTCTTGTAGTTCAAACACTAGAAAGTGACTCTAATGTAAACTATATCCTTTCCTCTCAAGACGTTGATTTAGATTTGTCAATAAACAGCTATGTTGATGTTAGCTCAGATGATACCGCCAAAATTTCAGTCAGTGCAGTGACTTTGAAACTACCAACGGCCAAAATAGTAACGAAATCGATATAACTGATCATGTACATAGATATTACTGAACCTCGGAAACCACCGGAAACGCCGCAGGTAACAGTGGAACTTGGGAGAACCATAAACCCTTCAAACAAACACTTGAAACAAGTTACACATACATCAAATTTAAGAAATAACTCTAACTTCGGATGATTAATTAATCACATACATATAGAGCTGATAGCCTTCCTGGTCCAGCTACCGAGATGTTTACTATGCCTATATAAATGATAGAAACAGTAACAATCAGGAAATTTTTTCATGGTTCTGATGGCTTTGCTTTTAGGAGCAGTAAGCAAATTACAAGTGATTTGTATTTTTTTCTACCTTACCAATCCCAAGAGTATTAACGGAACCACTTCTTACTATCTAAGTTCTAACCTGCTTCTTCATGACACCTCAGTTCCTGATATATACTTTCATTCAATGCCCGTCTAGCTCCAACAAAACCAGATATCTTAAAATCTATTTATTCCCCGTTAACTCAAGCGCCATATTTCTTACGAAGACTTGGTGTAATTCATTTATATCTGATTAATCCTAAAGCGAAGCTGCTACCTTGACGTGGTGGTCGGGCTTGCCTAGCGTGATGACCCAACCGAGCTATACTGGCTGGAACACATGTTCCTGCAGGTCCTACCATGTCAGGCAGGTCGATCGCAGAACGATGAGACTAAAAGCAGCTAACCAAGGTCTGAGGGCGAAGTCGTACTGCTGAATGCAGAGGGGTGTGACAGCAGTAAGGTGTTTCCATCGGACAACCAGCATCTTCAGCGATGATACCTTCTCACACAGAAGGAAGGAAGGGTTAGAAAAGGTTGACCATAAAAATGTCACACCTCACCCTACCTCACGGATTTCCGTCTCCGGTGGTAAGGGTGCCCACTGGGGGCCTTTAAGAGCGGAGCTAATCCTCTAAATACCTTTCATAAAAAGGCCTTGAGTGAACGGCCTCAAGGAGTTGTCCCTTGGACTCTGGTCACGCTCCCAAGTCGTTAAGACCAACGCTAATCTACATTCCTTTTAAGTTCCTCAGGAAACACCCTTTCACCGTGTATGAATCCAGGAAGTGACATCCGCCCTCACACCCATAAAAGCACACGAGACCAAATTGGTCACAATCAAATCCTTTCAACACCTCTTAATAAATCTGATCTCCTCGACAAACCCTTCTTTCTATCGTTTATCACCTCACGCCACTGAAGAAAACGGTGTGCGCTCACGAAACATTATTCCTGGTCGTTTGGAACCCCGTAAAAGCATTACATATAGGAGCTTTTAATGATCAGACCCCATGCCAAATAGGGCAACAGGCTTCATTAGCTAGAACTCGCGGACGATCGATGTATGCTGCGCCTCCGAAACGCGCATGCAATACACTAGTATACTCATCGACTTGACCTCACCTGGTGCAAATGGCGTCACAACAAGGTTTACGATTCGTATTTCAGGTAGCCCCGATGCTGCTTCTCGTGGACTCGCCGGAGTAGGGAAAGTATTAAGTCCTGGGGCTGGATCTCGAAAGACAGTCGCTTATGCGCTGCCCGACTAAACGGGACAGTAAGGACTCGTAAGGATAGGGACACTCGCCGTTGACTCTTCGTCATATCTGCCTATGCCCCCACTGACTGCAGTGCAGACGAGGTGAGAGATGACTTCTACAGAAAGCTTTCGGACCTCCTCCAAAAAGCTAGGCGCTCTGATGTAGTAATAATGGCTCGTGACTTTAATACTCAAGTAGGTAAACTAGGTGAAAAGGAAAGACATCTAGGTGGATGTTATGGTGTAGCGACTGAGAGAACAGACAATGGCGACCGTCTGTTGCAACTATGCTCAGATAACCAACTATTCTTAGCGAACACTAACTTTAGGCATAAGGAAAAGCATCTGTTGACCTGGCGACCCCCGAAGTCGTATCAACGTTGGACCCAACTAAAACACATCGCCATCAGCCACCGATGGAGAAGTTCGATAGAGGAGCGTGCTAACTCAATGCAATGAGGCATAACTAAGTATCTAACTATGCATTAATAATCTAGACATGTAATCAGCGAAGTAAGCGTGCAACCACACTAAAATAAAAACAGCCAAGGATATGATCGAATAATTGACAAGGACGAGAGACATAAGAATAATTCAAGGATGGATTCATTAATTTGTCCAAAAGCTAGGATAAACCCTGTGTGCTCAATATATTTGTACACACTACACCCTTTTTCCCCTCCAAATGCTCACATATAGCCACTGTTAGAGAATTCTTACTCAGTCTTCTGGTGGCATGCGTGTTCTACGCGAAATTGAGAGGATGAAAGGTAAATAAATGTCAGGCGCTTTAGCCGAGTTAGCTCGTACGGACGATCCACCTAGGGGAGTTAGAAAACCTTGATTCTAAATAGTGTGTCCTAGGGTCCTGTAGGGAACGAACAGTGGATAAATGTATTGTTGGTAATCGGCTACTATGAAGCCGCATTTCTTGATATTGCTCCACTTCCCTGTGGATTAAACCTGTAGGTGGATGAACCGATTAGTGACAACCTAAGAAAATCATCTATTTTGGCTTGGGCATGCAGACAGTAACACAGCCCACCTACAAATTCATTGAATTGAGACATATAAATAATTTGGTAGCTTTGTACAAATAACTGAGTTTAAGTAAAATTCGAATAGAGATGTACCTGTTACGAAGAAACCACTATAAGGCAAACCCTAAAGAGATAACTTTGCAGAATAATTCCGACCAGGTTGGCATTGTGCCGCTACATATGATTTCAGAAATCTAGCTGACCCTATTCAGAATATAAACAGCGTATCTAATCTCAAATTACTAAGATAAAAGTACTTAGCAACTTATCCGTTGGCTAACCCTAAGTCGGCTGGAGAACTAGAATCACAGCTCGATGAAGAAACCCTCAAATCATCGAGCACTCGCCCATTCGATTTTCGGAGACTAAATTTCATGTTAATGCGCTGTATTCACTTCATTGCATCCTATTTAGAACCTGCTGAAGCGCAGCTCAGGCATCATTAATTCAACATAATATCTAGGAACTGGAGGGTGCAAGATAGTTATTTGAACTATAGGTACTACACCTAGCCCTTATAAGTAGCCAAGTGTTCAAAGCGCTACCAGTTGAGGTGGACTTTCGAGAAGCCCTTAATGAGTAAGCTTGATATATTCCTGCAAATAGTAATCAGAACTCCACAACAATTTACCAATGCATCTCTATCTGTTTCATATATTCATTGCATCAACCAGTGAATCCCAATGTTACTATTGAGAAGACATTGGATGTTTGGTTACGTATGATTCCCCTAGGACCGCAGCCAATGTTGACTACGAATTCTCAATTGGATTATCGTAGTAAAGATAGACACACATCTATAATGCTAATGCTGAGTCGTCACTCCTTTTGTTCATTCTTTCGGCAAAAGCTTATATCTCTTTGTGGTACCCTGTATTCTAACCATATCTTGCAACATCTTCCGCATAAAGTATCCTGTAACTAAGCCACGATTAGTGCGGATTTAAATTCGTTGTACTTATCATACTTGAGGCCGGAAACGAGTTTTCAACTTAGAGAAATTTCGATAGTCCTATGAAAGTAAAATGAATTTTGTTAGCAGCACGACTATTTTATCCTAAACATGAGGACAAAATGTTTTCAGCAAACGTTTCTGGTTAGCCAAAATTATATCATAATTTAGGGACAATTGTTTAGTGACATATATTAGGAATACGTTGATACATGGACCTTCAGTTTCAGGAAATGTCACGTCTGATCATTCAACGTTAACCTACTTTAGAGGTAGAATGGTTAGTCAGTCAGATGCAACGTAGAACTTGGTACATAAGTACATCAGTTCATGTCGCCATACCACATCAGCACAGAGATATAATTGTCAATTCAAATCCAATAGTAGAAGAGGTAGTGAAGGTATTAGGAGTAATCGGAGAGGTTAGGGTTAGAAGATACTATTCAAGAAGTATGATTCAGTGAGAAAAGTTTAGAAAGTCAAAACTAGAGTTGTTGAAGAATCCAGAAGATTAGGGTTTGAGAGAACACAAAGAATAAATGCACCGACGCCATTGCAAACGATTTTGAGCCATGTCATTCAAGGTCTCTAACCATCAATTATTATCACCTCGCGCACCCCAACCAGGTAGTCGACAACTACCGACATGGCTAAGTCCACTCGTCAATGACTTCATGGATTTATGCCATGTTTTGGTCTGGCCGCCCCTAGCCTTCTTCCAACATACTACTACACTACAAAACAAAGCTCGTCGGGGCAATCTGTGGTTGGGCATACACAGCACATGTCCCAACCACCTCAGCTGATGAAGTTTCATTACTTCATCTATTGATCTGACATTCTTACCTAGCACCCGCTTGCTAATAACAGCGTTGCTCACTCGGGTGTCCCACGATATACGAGCAATGCTTCGAAGACACCTATGATCAAAAATGGCTAACGAGAGCAAGTCACATGTGAGCGGCAGTGGCGACAATTAATCAAAAGATTCAACTGGCATTAAAAAATATATACAAGACATTTACGTTTGTAAAATGTACATCAATTGAAAAAATATATAAAATAAATGCACAGCGAAAATATACATGGCTGACCGTTCACAAACTTTTGATCATGGCAAACGGATTGGATTGATCTGAAATCATATGGAAAAAGCAATCGTAAGTACAAACAGAACAAATGAAATACAGGTGCATAAGAAATGAAAAGCTGCATGCTCATTGTCACTGATTAGGACACTTAAATTAATGCTAAAGCACGAATAATATTAATTGAAATATTTACAAAAAAGGAAACAATGGATCGTCACGCCTACTAAGCATCAAATACGATTTATATGATCGATCTCTGCTGCAACTCTAACGACTGAAATGATGGCTGGCTTTATTGTAGGATAATACAAATATAAACAATACGATTCTTTTAGACCGACGATAAATATATAATCGCTGAATATGTATGACTCACGAAGATGAAGTGTAACAAACTGTAATTTTATAAACAACTATCTATTAAAATGAATAGTAGTACACTCGATATCTATTATACATTATGCTTGTGGGTTTAGCGTTAGAAAAGAAAGAAGAATTTAAAACAACAAAACGTGAATATGTCATACGTAAGTACATCAGTTCAGGTTGCCATATCACATTAGCACAGACAAGCAATTGTCAATTCAAATCCCATATTGGTAGAGATAGCAGAAGTATTAACAATAATGGAGAAAATTAGGGAGCGAAGATATGATTCGAGAAGTATAATTCAGTTAAATAACTTCAAGAAGAGAGAGATAGAGATGATGAGGAATTCAAATGATTAGAATTTGAGAGAACACAATGAATAAATGCGTCTGCGCCATTGCAAACGGTTATGAGCCATGTCGTTCAACGTCTCTAACCATTGATGACTTTTGTTTCGCGGACCCCAACCAGGTCCAACATGACTCAGTTCACTTTTTTTTATAAAATGAATCAAAAGTACATAAAAACAGAAAAGTTCATATATGTTGGTCTTCAAACCAATAACGAAAACTATGTCAAACAGAAATTTCAGCAGAGTGAGGATTCTCATTTAAACAGTAAAAAGAACGAATGTAATGAAAAAATTTCTTATCGATAAGTTTTTTATGATGATTGCAAACTAATATACATATGATTTACCTAAATAAAACAACATTGATTGAGTAATGATATGACGTAATAATTACATAATTCCGGTGATGATAAAATAGTGTCAAGTGATTAACTGAATAATTGGAAGAAAGAGGACTATGATAATCAAATTTTAGATAAAAATTGAAATCCAATCAAACAGCTTGCAAGAACGCATTACATTTAGCAATAAAATCGATGAAACATTTTGATAAGTCAGCAGCGTTAGTGTAGCTATGTAAGGATCAAGTGACGCACATTGAAAATGTAATAAAACAAGAACGTAGGAGAAATTTGAAAGTTGGAAACAATTCGGTGGAAAAAATTTATTCTTCAACGATATTCGAAAATTTTCCCCTGTTGAGCCATCCATAAATTTATTTAGTAAGAATGGGGTTAATTGAAGTCTAGCCAAAACGCTCTCCTAGGTTGATCAGCCAACAGCTAATCATTCTAGAGCGATAAAATAGGATTTTTATCTAGTTTCTTTTTATGTGATTAGTACAGAACTATGGAAATGAACTGACGACTTTAGATGTATTACGCTTCTTAACATTTCACCTACTATTTTGTTGAGTGAAAATCTGGAAACGATATGCTGTCACTTTTTCTTTCCAAAGTAAAAATGAAATAAATGTATGAAGGTAGGTAAACATATTAGGTCCCGACCGTAGCTGCTACCTTGACGTGGTGGTCGGGCTTGCCTAGCGTGATGACCCAACCGAGCTATACTGGCTGGAACACATGTTCCTGCAGGTCCTACCATGTCAGGCAGGTCGATCGCAGAACGATGAGACTAAAAGCAGCTAACCAAGGTCTGAGGGCGAAGTCGTACTGCTGAATGCAGAGGGGTGTCACAGCAGTAAGGTGTTTCCATCGGACAACCAGCATCTTCAGCGATGATACCTTCTCACACAGAAGGAAGGAAGGGTTAGAAAAGGTTGACCATAAAAATGTCACACCTCACCCTACCTCACGGATTTCCGTCTCCGGTGGTAAGGGTGCCCACTGGGGGCCTTTAAGAGCGGAGCTAATCCTCTAAATACCTTTCATAAAAAGGCCGTGCGTGACCGGCTTCAAGCAGTTGTCCCTTAGGCTCTACGGTCACGATCCCAGTTCTCCAAGACCAACACTAATCTATCTTCCTTTTCAGGTCCCTCAAGAAACAACCTTACACGGTGTGGGCAGTCGGGAAGTGACAACCGCCCTCATACCCGTAACATCACACGAGACCAAATTGGTCAAAATCAAATCCTTCCTACATTCCCTAATACCTCTCTTCTCTCCACAACTAACTCTACTCACATTCCCTTTTCTCACTGCACCGCTAAGGCAAACGATGCGAGTTCACGAAACGTCATTCCTGGTCTCTTGAAACCCCGTTCTAGACTACATGTTGGAGCATTTAATGTACGGACATTGTGACAAATAGGGAAACAGGCATCATTAGCTAGGACTTCAGAATCTCGTGCAATCGATGTATGCTGCGTCTCGGAAACGCGCATACAGGATCCTAGTAAAGTCATTAACCTGATTCCACCTTGTCAAAACGAAGAAGCAGCTCGATTTACTCTTCGTGTATCCGGTAGCCCTGATGCTGCTTCCAGGGGTCTTGCTGGCGTAGACATAGCGTTGAGTACTAGGGCAGAATTATCTCTCCTAGACTGGATCACAGTAGATAGTCGTTTGTGCGCTGTCCGACTAAACGGGACAGTAAGGACTCGTAAGGATAGGGACACTCGCCGTTGACTCTTCGTCATATCTGCCTATGCCCCCACTGACTGCAGTGCAGACGAGGTGAGAGATGACTTCTACAGAAAGTTTTCGGACCTCCTCTAAAAAGCTAGGCGCTCTGATGTAGTAATAATGGCTCGTGACTTTAATACTCAAGTAGGTAAACTAGGTGAAAAGGAAAGACATCTAGGTGGATGTTATGGTGTCGCGGCTCAAAGAACAGACAATGGCGACCGTCTGTTGCCACTATGCTCAGATAACCAACTATTCTTAGCGAACACTAACTTTAGGCATAAGGAAAAGCATCTGTTGACCTGGCGACCCCCGAAGTCGTATCAACGTTGGATGCAACTAGATCACATCGCCATCAGCCACCGATGGAGGGGTTCGATAGAGGACTGTCGCTCGTTCTGGGGCACATGTTTGGATTCAGATCATGCTCTAGTGCGAGCTCGTATCTGTTTGAGGCTTACTGGACGTAGGGCCTTTAAGAGCGGAGCTAATACTCAAAAATCCTTTCATAAAAAGGCCTCAAGCAGTTGTCCCCTGGGCTCTGAGGTCACGCACCCAGTTGCACTCCTTGATAAAATCAACATTTGTCTTTACTTCACTGAAAATTAAGCTGTAGTTCAGATGCTCATTGAAAACCTTTTAGGCAAACTATTGCTCAGAAGATTTAGGTCTGGTGAATATTCCCATCTGGACACTTAGTAAAATAAGGAATAGAGCGAGATTCCCTTCTAATTAGTTTTTTAACCAACAAGCATTTTATGTCATACACTTTGATGTTTAAAATAAACTTCAGAATTCGCTAAAAACCACGTTGTCACAACTAAATTAGTACAATCTCAAAAAAATTGTTGTGCCGATTGCCTTAATTCATGTAAAATCGGATTTGCAAACGGTGTCCGTATCTCTAGCAAAGTTCTTTGATGGTGTTAGCTTTAAAAGGTTTGAAGGACTATTAGAAAGTTTATAATAGCTGCTGATATAGTACGGAATAGACCATAATGCTGATCATTAAGTTAACACAGGATAACCAATGATTCATGAGTGTAGCATCAGTGCTGAAAATGATATATTAAGTGTAAGATGGTACTTACCTGCTTGATCTTTAACTCATTTTCAGAGAACTTTACACCTTGTAAGGCTTTCACAAGACGAACTGCAGCCTCTGAAGTCTCCATAATGAGATAAGCGTAAATAGATGGGGGTTTATTCTTTTTACTGCCCACTATTTTTATTGTTTGCACCTAAAAAGAAATGTTGAGAGTTTTAGTTGCTCCGTAAAGTACATGAAGAAGAATTATGCTTAAAAGTAACCATCAGTAAGGCTGAAATCATTAGATTCCAAATGATACTTGTTAACAAAAAGCAGCAAGGCTGCCAATCGCACAAGACATCAAATGATCATATTCGCCTTTTATCATCAGATGGTGGGTATAAACATTCTAATATAACTAAAATGCCATTGTTTAAATATCTCGTGTTTATCAATTTATATTTGCTTAGCTTCAAAAAATGGGTAAATACATGGTTTAAATGAATAAGTTTGTAATGTGTGTCAATTACTCACAACTGTTAGTCAGGAAAATGTAAAATAATCAAGTGCCTTTAATTTGACATGGCACATTGGCAAAATCTTCAGAAAACCTAAGAATTAGGATATTAACAATGAAGAGAACATATCAAACAGAATTTATGATGAGATGCTAGAATTAGAAGTCATTTTACTGAATCATTTACAGTCGGAATAAAAACACTTTGCTCATACATTCTTACTCATCAAATCTAAGCATCATTAAATAGTTAAAAAAGCAAGGTCGACTAGCAACTCACTAACAACTATATTCTGTACTCAAAACTTTCAGGTCAACTAATTTAATAGGTATCTGTGCATGAAGTATACTCCAAGTGTAAGGGCTTTTAATACTACCCGATTATCCGAACCGAATTACATGGAACAACGGTTTGAACCAGTGGCTTGGTAGCTGATAGTCGAACGCTTTAACTCATTGCTCCCGTACATTGTAGTTAACAGCCTTCAGGATAACAAAAAAGCCCAAAACCACACATGCTTGCTACGGAAGAATAACTGCCTATGTGGAATGTGCGACAACACATCGGCTGATGGATAAATCGAAAGGTAGTACAAAACACCTTGTACAGAACCTAAACCATATGAGATATTAATCCGTTGACTAACTAATACATCATTAAAAGTTATCTATGAGCATTAGGTAACTTACTTTTTCCGTTTTATGGATGACTTCAATCGAGAAACTAAGTTCAGATTTTGCCATGTTCGGATTTTAAGAAAGGAATGATTGTCGTCAATAAAAAATATAGTCAGTACGACTACAATATAAACAAACAACTTACTTTTCCGTATGGTGCACACATTTCTTTAATATCTACCGCTCGAACGCCTTGAGGGAGATTGCTTATCCATAAATACTTTGACAAAGATACTGAAAAAGTAAATGGAAGTCGAAAGTATACTAAAATATACGATTATACGTAATAATTGTTATGTAGTCATTAAACACGACAAAAATTTAGGTGTATTAAACCTCAAAGTAAAATATTTTATGCATCAAGTACTTTACATAGTGAGTTCATGACCCAGGTAGCTATTGGATTACAATTATTTTTTACAAACTTATTTCCAAAAAGAAACTGTGTTATAACTTGAGACTGCTCGATAAATCACAAAGTCGATTTAATGCATTTACCTTTTGTGTCTAAAATGAACGATGAATCAAAGGACTGGAATTAAATGAACACATTCCAATATAGGTCGAGTTGCGTTGTAATCTAATCAAATATTTTCACTATTGTCATAATTTACATCTTATTCAAACAAAAATGATTGGTAATAAACCTCATAATGATGAAATAAAATGAGAATAGAGTCAATAACATGAAGAACTGCTGGAAAACCTTAGACTATACATTGTGATGTACCTACCATAATTAAATTGAATGTTTTCATATACTGTTTTTTTCAGTGGCATTCTAAATTTAATTTCAAAATCATTTACCTACAAGAACTGAAGTACTGTACATGGCGATAAATCTTAATCACTTACGATCATTTTTTGATATGTCGCTTCTTACACTTTTCGTATCAGATGGGGAACTGGGGCGATTGGAAGGTTCAGGATTGGATACAGTACGAATACTATGAAGATTCTCACTAGGCGATATGCGTAGGCGCTTAGAATCATGATGGTTATGAATATCTGGCTTGGATTGAAGAACAGGAAAATCGGCACACTGTAAAAAAGAAAATATCTTGAAGTTTAACAACAAAACTTAAAGTAGGGAAAGAAACAGTAAGTACATATGATAAGCTGAACTGACTCAATACCGTAATTATGTCAAACAGCCGTACTTTGTGTGGCGTAAAAATCGATATGGAACAATAATTTATAACTTGTAAACAAGACTAACTCACATGGAAAGGAAAAAGTGGTGAGAAAACTGGACTTCAGAGTCTTTAATTAATAGCATACAGAAAAATCCCGACCGTAGCTGCTACCTTGACGTGGTGGTCGGGCTTGCCTAGCGTGATGACCCAACCGAGCTATACTGGCTGGAACACATGTTCCTGCAGGTCCTACCATGTCAGGCAGGTCGATCGCAGAACGATGAGACTAAAAGCAGCTAACCAAGGTCTGAGGGCGAAGTCGTACTGCTGAATGCAGAGGGGTGTGACAGCAGTAAGGTGTTTCCATCGGACAACCAGCATCTTCAGCGATGATACCTTCTCACACAGAAGGAAGGAAGGGTTAGAAAAGGTTGACCATAAAAATGTCACACCTCACCCTACCTCACGGATTTCCGTCTCCGGTGGTAAGGGTGCCCACTGGGGGCCTTTAAGAGCGGAGCTAATCCTCTAAATACCTTTCATAAAAACGCCGTGCGTGACCGGCTTCAAGCAGTTGTCCCTTAGGCTCTACGGTCACGATCCCAGTTCTCCAAGACCAACACTAATCTATCTTCCTTTTCAGGTCCCTCAAGAAACAACCTTACACGGTGTGGGCAGTCGGGAAGTGACAACCGCCCTCATACCCGTAACATCACACGAGACCAAATTGGTCAAAATCAAATCCTTCCTACATTCCCTAATACCTCTCTTCTCTCCACAACTAACTCTACTCACATTCCCTTTTCTCACTGCACCGCTAAGGCAAACGATGCGAGTTCACGAAACGTCATTCCTGGTCTCTTGAAACCCCGTTCTAGACTACATGTTGGAGCATTTAATGTACGGACATTGTGACAAATAGGGAAACAGGCATCATTAGCTAGGACTTCAGAATCTCGTGCAATCGATGTATGCTGCGTCTCGGAAACGCGCATACAGGATCCTAGTAAAGTCATTAACCTGATTCCACCTTGTCAAAACGAAGAAGCAGCTCGATTTACTCTTCGTGTATCCGGTAGCCCTGATGCTGCTTCCAGGGGTCTTGCTGGCGTAGACATAGCGTTGAGTACTAGGGCAGAATTATCTCTCCTAGACTGGATCACAGTAGATAGTCGTTTGTGCGCTGTCCGACTAAACGGGACAGTAAGGACTCGTAAGGATAGGGACACTCGCCGTTGACTCTTCGTCATATCTGCCTATGCCCCCACTGACTGCAGTGCAGACGAGGTGAGAGATGACTTCTACAGAAAGTTTTCGGACCTCCTCTAAAAAGCTAGGCGCTCTGATGTAGTAATAATGGCTCGTGACTTTAATACTCAAGTAGGTAAACTAGGTGAAAAGGAAAGACATCTAGGTGGATGTTATGGTGTCGCGGCTCAAAGAACAGACAATGGCGACCGTCTGTTGCCACTATGCTCAGATAACCAACTATTCTTAGCGAACACTAACTTTAGGCATAAGGAAAAGCATCTGTTGACCTGGCGACCCCCGAAGTCGTATCAACGTTGGACGCAACTAGATCACATCGCCATCAGCCACCGATGGAGGGGTTCGATAGAGGACTGTCGCTCGTTCTGGGGCACATGTTTGGATTCAGATCATGCTCTAGTGCGAGCTCGTATCTGTTTGAGGCTTACTGGACGTAAGAAAGACACCGTAAGAAAGCCTCTTAGGGTTTTACTCAATGATAATCAAACTGAGAAAATATTTCAGGAGCAACTAGAAAAAGAGTTAAGCAACCATGTAAGCGATTCTCATCCTGAAGCAGGTTGGTATGATATCAAAAAGGCTGTGGAAACAGCAGTGATATCTGCTAGCAAAGTAAACCATAAGGCTAGGATGAAGCCGTGGATTTCAGTCGCATCTACCGAACTGATGGATGCTCGAAAACGCATCCCACCTGACTCTGAGCATGATGAAGAGCGTAGTCAGCTTAGGCGCAGACTTATAAAAAGTCTGCGTAACGACCGCGAACAGTGGTGGGTGGCGAAAGCAAAAGCGATGGAAAAGGCAGCGGCAATAGGCAACACTAGACAACTTTCCCGCCTTATTAAAGAAACCGGTATTAGGAACCCGAATGTGAGTGAGACTATTTCGGAAAAGGATGGGATTATTATCCATTCTCAATCCAGGAGACTGGATCGATGGGCAGAACACTTTAGGGATCAGTTCAACTGGCCTTCAGCCACTCTTCGGTTGCCCACGATCTCCAGTCATCCTGAATGGCAAATCGACCTAAGTCCCCCTAGTCTTAATGACGTTGAGAAAGCGTTAGGAAATCTGAAACGAGGACGAGCTGCAGGTCCTGGTAGACTGACCCCTGAGATATTCATGAATGGTGGTCCAGTTTTATCTGCTACGTTGACTGAGATCTTAGGTAGAATCTGAGAACTGGACGCAATCCCATCCGACTGGTCTCAATCACTGATTGTCCCAATCTATAAGAAAGGTCAAAAGTCTTCTTGTGACAATCACAGGGGAATAAGTCTCACTAGTACAGTATCTAAAATATTGGCCTCAATAATACTTCGACGCTTAACGTAAGCTCGTGAAGAACAGACTAGAGAAAACCAGGCTGGTTTTCGACCTGGACGTGGTTGTATAGACCACATATTCACACTAAGGCAGGTCATGGAACACAGACCTGGACCTAGAATAGGCATTTGACTCAGTGAATCGTAAGGTTCTGTGGCAGTGTCTGTCATTGAAAGGTGTACCAAAGAAGTAAATTAACCTTATACAAGCTCTCTACTCGAACACCACTGGTCGAGTGAGGGCTTAGGGCGAACTGTCATCTGAATTCTCTACATCAAGTTATGTCCGTCAGGGATGTCCACTTTCTCCATTTTTGTTTAATTTCATCACAGACATGCTCTTAGAAATAACCTTATCCCCGTCTGAATTTTCTGGAGTAGACCTTCTACCAGGTGGCTCGCTTATTGACTTAGAATATGCCGATGACATTGTCCTACTTGGTGAAGATGCTGACAAAATGCAGAGTCTTCTGACTACCATTAGCAACAATGCAAGCATGTTCGGGATGCGGTTCTCACTCTCGAAATGCAAAATGTTGCTTCAAGACTGGGTTGCATCGGCACCTGAACTAGTCATAGGGACTGAAGTAGTCGAGCGAGTAGACCGCTTCACTTATCTTGGGAGTCTCATCAGTGCCGATGGCCTGGTGACTGACGAAATCTCAGCTCGCATACAGAAGGCTCGATTGGCTTTTGCCAACCTGCGTCACTTATGGCGTAGGCAATATATCCGTTCTCTAATCAAAGGACGAGTGTACTGTGCAGCAGTTCGCTCCGTTCTCCTATATGGATGTGAAACATGGCCAGTGAGAGTAGAAGATATTCGTAGGTTACTGGTTTTCGATCATAGGTGTCTTCGAAGAATTGCTCGTATACCGTGGGACAACCGAGTAAGCAATGCTGTCGTTAGGAAACGAGTACTAGGCAAGGATGGCAGATCAATCGATGAAGTGGTGAAACTTCATCAGTTGAGGTGGTTGGGACATGTGTTGCGTATGCCCAACCACCGACTGCCTCGTCGAGCCTTGTTTTGTAGTGTAGGAATAGGTTGGAAGAAAGTTAGGGGCGGCCAGACCAAAACATGGCACAAATCCATGAAGTCATAGTCTAGTGGACTTAGCCATGTCGGTAATCGTCGACTACCTGGTTGGGGTCCGCGAGATGATAATAATCGATGGTTAGAGACCTTGAATGACATGGCTCAAAATCGTTCTCAATGGCGCCGGTGCATTTATTCTTTGTGTTCTCTCAAACCCTAATCTTCTTGATTCTTCAACACTTCTAGTCTTGACTCTCTAAACTTTTCTCACTGAATCATACTTCTTGAATAGTATCTTCTAACCCTAACCTCTCCGATTACTCCTAATACCTTCACTACCTCTTCTACTATTGGATTTGAATTGACAATTATATCTCTGTGCTGATGTGGTATGGCGACATGAACTGATGTACTTACGTACCAAGTTCTACGTTGCATCTGACTGACTCACTGACATACAGAAAAATACAAAATCATCTTAACATGAAACATGATGTTAAGTTTTCCTGAACTTTCCATATGTAAACAGGGAATATCGAACTAGATCAATGCAACTGATTTATGGTACTCAGTCAGTCAGTTACAACGCAGAACTGCAATCGCAATACCACATTAGCACAGAGACGAAATTGTCAATTGAAATGCCATAGTAGTAGAGGTAGTAGGAGTATTAGCAGTCAACAAAAAGATTAATGATCGAATATATCATTCGCGATGTATACCCGAGGAATCAGCTGAAGAGAAAAAATGGTCATGAGGAATTCAGAAGATCAGGATTTGAGAGAACACAAAAAATGGATGCACCTGCGCCATTGCAAACGGTTTTGAGCCATGTTGTTGAAGGTCTGTAACCATCGATTCCTGGTACTGGAAGCTTTTGAAAGCCGTAAATAATAAGCGGCTACAATAGTAAAATATGAGTAAGACTTGTACCGAGGATCTTATAATTGAAATCTGAGTGCATAAATCACTGAAACATCACTTTCATTATGACCTGTTATTTAACAGGAATCCATAAGTACCAACTAAAAAAACTATGAGCTTGAAAAATATTAGCTGCTTTTTTGTTGATACAATCCGGTAGAATTCTCTATGTCAAATATGATACCTAGAAAGTTCAAAACAGACAAATACATTTTACTGCAACCGAACACAAGAAATAATAGCCAAATGGAGTTAAGAGACAACATGGTAACGATAATCATTTAAAAGGGAAAGCAGAAACAATAAAAGACTTCGAAATGATGGGAGGAAATGTTGCGTCAACTGTTGTGAAAAAGCTTCCTAAGACGACACAAAGTGTTAATCAGCATAAAACAGCCCTAATCGGTTTCTTAGTGTTGCAGCGAAACAAATTCTGAAGGATAACGTTTGGAACTATTTTTCGGAAGTAGATGACTGTAATATTGTATTTGTTTTCTGCTTGTTATAAATTCCTGTTTCACTCACTACGTCTATACGTTTTACTGTTTCTAAATTATTGACAATCGATAGTCTACAATTCACCCGTTTTCACTATCACTTCTGACCTCATAACTGACTTTTTTATAGTGCGTTGTAGCCCAATTTATGTATAAAATCTAATGAGTGCTTGAGATAATTGCTGTGCTGGCCGGTTAATATGACATAAAGCTTGACCGCAGGTCTTGGGATGGCAAGAATTGAGTATTATAGAACCGATGGGTGTTGATCAACATTAACTCAAGATTAATAGCGGTTAGAAGGCATGAATGGTCAAGACCTAGGACGATAGGTCAGTAACATAACAGTGGACGTGGGTAGAGAAAATATTGCAATTCTCACTGGTGGACGTAGCGAATGATACAGATTAATCGCTCGTACACAACACTTACAGTGATAAAATTACGTAACAGTAATATACAAAACTGCAACTTACAGAGGATGCACTATTAGGAGGAGGTGGTAGTCCAGTGGGAGGAAAGAAAACTGGCTGTTGCTCACTAGATAACGAAGGTGTATAGTTATGAACCTGCAAATAATAATTCATATAGTGATTGAAATAGCGATGCCATTGAGATGTGTATTCCGGTGTGTTAGGGATCAAACTATTTCCCGTGTTAGTAGACATAAACTTTAAAGTCTCTTGATAAGCGGATGAATATGCCATCGAATAAGCAGTCTGAATACTAGCTGACTGCGCATGATGATTAAGTACATTTCTAGGAATATCATGAGGAAGTTGAGACGGGATGAATTTGGACGGAGACACAGGTGTCGAACGTTCAACAGCAGTAACAGGCATCAGAGTTGGGGGAAATGATTGGAGAGACATCGGAGGAGGAGAACCAATAGGAGTTCCAAAAGGTGGGGGTTGGATGTTAACATTAGGTGTCGACCCGATAGTAGCTACAGCACGCTGATAGAGTTGACAGGCTTTCTGATACATCATGTGCATCTGAATTAAATAAATCACAAAATACTTTCAATAACTTCTGACAACAAACGGTTACTGAAATAAACATTCTTATAAGGATGATGAGATACAAAATAGCAGACGAAATACACGAAATAAACGAAGTGGATCTGTGGGAGTTTAGCCTAATTACAACTTATCTGATTACGTAGCACGTTATTTAAAAGCTTACTTTTATTGAGAGATGAAATAAAGCTTAATGCAGGATACTCGGCAAAGATCTGTAAATGACATCAATCCACGAAGACAGTAGGAACATGCATTATAGATTTACTGGTTTAGGCATATGAGATTAGAAATTAATGTTTGAAAACGCAATAACGCAGCAAAACCAATTGCATTAGAATGGCCGGATTTATCATTTACATCTTGTTTATTGGCACCTCTATTCTAGAATATTATGCTGGCTTTTTTGTGTTACCAGAAAATTGTGCATTTCATTACGCTATCACTATCCGTTCATGAGGTACACATATTACAGGGGATTACATCTGTAGTACTTTTGATTAGAAATATTGTTTCGTTGACTAGATCACGAAAAAGCGATTGATAAGCTTCATGGTAAGTTGACAGTTTCAACACTGCCAGGTTTTGCGGTTGGTTCTGTATAAAGCTGAAATCACTAATTATTAAACCCCCAAACTAGAAAGTGCGTATTCAAAATCTCACTGATTTCAGTGATTTATCCTAGTTGATGCTAAAATATGATCAGATTCTTAAACTCGGAACATTTTGATCGTATGTATTCAGGTTAATAAATCAACATTTTATGATCGTGTTTGGAAACAATGGAAACCAGTGAATCGAAGCTAACTTCACAGTATTCAGACAGTTTGCAGTCAAACTTATCAATATTTTTTCCAAAATAGTGGAAACCAGTTTGAACTTTAGATAAAATTTTGTTTGGAAATATAAGTAGTGACTTGGACAATTGATATAATTCTTAACCATCCAAGTTACAAAATTTAAATAGTAATTTAGCTCTAGTACCACTTTATACACTATTTTAACGATCAGTAATATATGGTTTCAAAACAACTCATTAAATATATACATAACTTTATTAGAAGTCGTTCTTACCTTTTCAATTTCTTGTTGAGAACCTAATGCAGACGAAGGGGGAACAGCTACTCGCCACGAGCCAGATAAGCCAAAATGATTATCACTATTGTTGTTTTCTGGAACAGCTTCAACAGAAGCAACCCTCTGCACAGAATTTTGCGCCGGTACTGGTGTTCCGCCGGGGACAAAACCAGGAAACATACTTTGAGGTGCCATATCTTATGAAAAACAATATTAATTATAAGTAAAATACAGTGACATAACCACAACTCCCATAAATGAATTTTATTAATTGCTTAAATACGTATGCAAACACGTAATCAGGCACAAATCATATAGAAAAGACAAAACAAGGGAAAGAACGTTGACATGTAATACGATTTCATATTTTTGTGGGATGAAAGTGGTATTTGAAAACAAATAAGCCATGCAGCGTAAACAATATACATAGAAACTTAATGTTCAAGGGATACGAACCGAAAGACGTATTATCAATCAAAACCCTGAGTATAATAAGTCCAAGACAACATTTGAATACCAAAGCTGCGATAATCCTAAGAAATGGTTCGAAACATAAAGAGTAGAACATATAAGAACTCGTATAAACATATAGGCTTAAACGATCGAGTTTCGCAACTATGTAGTTTCGAGATGTTAATAATGGCCCCAATATAGAAGGCTGTATAAACCATGGAAACAGAAATAAAAAAATGTAGATAAAAGGAGATGAAGTGAGCTTTTGATAAACAAAAGATATCATATGCATTTAAAAGTGCGATGGTGACGTGCAATTGCTGGTCACCTATAGTGGGAGTCTAGCTACATTAAATGAGAAATAATTTAAATGTGCTGTTGTACAAAATTAGATTTTTGCTTTGCCGAGCATAATATGATCACTAATATGGCATAACAGTCAGTTAGTAAACCGATCACAACGTAGAACTTCGCACCCGACCGAAGCTGCTACCTTGACGTGGTGGTCGGGCTTGCCTATCGTGATGACCCAACCGAGCTATACTGGCTGGAACATATGTTCCTGCAGGTCCTACCATGCCAGGCAGGTCGATTGGAGAACGATGAGACTAAAAGCAGCTAACCAAGGTCTGAGGGCAAAGTCGTACTGCTGAATGCAGAGGGGTGTCACAGCAGTAAGGTGTTTCCATCGGACAACCAGCATCTGCAGCGATGCTGCCTTCTCACAAGGAAGGAAGGGTTAGAAAAGGTCGGCCCTAAAAATGTCACACCTCCCCTACCTCACGGATTTCCGTCTCCGGTGGTAAGGGTGCCCACTAAGGGCCTTTAAGAACGGAGCTAATCCTCTAAATACCTCTCATAAAAAGGCCGTGCGTGACCGGCCTCAAGCAGTTGTCCCTTGGACTCTGCGGTCACGCACCAACACTAATCCATCTTCCTTTTCAGGTTCGTCAAGAAACAACCTTCCACGGTGTGGGCAGCCGGGAAGTGATAACCGCCCTCATACCCGCAACAGCACACGCGACAAAATTGTTCAAAATCAAATCCTTCCTACATTCCCTAATACCTCTCCTATCTCCACGACTAACTCTTCTCACATTCATTTATTTCAGTGCACAGCTAATGCAAACGATGCGAGTTTGCGAAACGTCGTTCCTGGTCTCCTTAAACCCCGTTCCAAACTACATGTTGGAGCATTCAATGTACGGACATTGTGTCAAATAGGGCAACAGGCGTCATTAGCTAGGACTTTAGAATCTCGTTCCATCGATGTGTGCTGAGTCTCGGAAACGCGCATACAGGATCCGAGTAGCATCACTCATTTGACCTCACCATGTCAAGATAAAGAAGCAGCTCGATTTACCCTTCGTGTATCCGGTAGCCCTGATACTGCTTCCAGGGGCCTCGCCGGTGTAGGTATAGCATTGAGTCGTAGGGCAGAACAATCTCTCCTAGACTGGATCCCTGTAGATAGTCGTTTGTGCGCCGTCCGACTGAACGGGACAGTAAGGACTCGGAAAGATAGGGACACTCGCCGTTGCCTCTTCGTCATATCAGCCTACGCCCCCACTGACTGCAGCCCAGATGATGTAAAAGATGAGTTTTACAGAAAGCTTTCGGACCTCCTCCAAAAATTTAAGCGCTCTGATATAGTTATAATGGCTGGTGACTTCAATGCTCAAGTAGGTAGACTAAGTGAAAATGAAAGACACCTAGGTGGATGTTACGGTCTCGCGGCTCAAAGAACAGACAATGGCGACCGTCTGTTGTAACTATGCTCAGATAACCAACTATTTCTAGCAAACACTAATTTTAAGCATAAGGAAAAACACCTTTTGACCTGGCGACCCCCGAAGTCGTCTCAACGTTGGACACAACTAGATCATATCGCCATCAGCCACCGATGGAGGGGTTCGATAGAGGACTGTCGCTCGTTCTGGGGCACATGTTTAGATTCAGATCATGCCCTAGTGCGAGCACGTATTTGTTTGAGGCTTGCTAGACGTAGGAAAGACACCGTAAGGAAGCCTCTTAGGGCTTTACTCAATGATAATCAAGCTAAGAAAATATTTCAGGAGGAACTAGAAAAACAGTTGGGCGATCATGCAAGTGATTCCCATCCGGAGTCAGGTTGGAATGATATAAAGAAGGCTGTGGAAACAGCAGTGATATCTGCTAGCAAGGTAAACCACAAGGCTAGGATGAAGCCGTGGATTTCAGTCGAATCCACCGAACTGATGGATGCACGAAAATGCATCCCACCTGACGCTGAACATGATGAAGAGCGTAGTCAACTTAGGCGCAGACTTATAAAAAGCCTACGTAACGACCGTGAACAGTGGTGGGTGGCGAAAGCAAAAGCGATGGAAAAGGCAGCGGCGATAGGCAACACTAGACAACTTTTCCGCCTTATCAAAGAAACCGGTATTAGGAACCCGAATGTAAGTGAGACTATCTCGGAAAAGGATGGTCTTATTATCCATTCTCAATCTAGGAGGCTGGACCGATGGGCAGAACACTTTAGGGATCAGTTCAACTGGCCTTCAGCCACTCTTCGGTTGCCCACGATCTCCAGTCATCCTGAATGGCAAATCGATTTAAGTCCTCCCAGTTTACATGAAGTTGAGAAAGCTATAGGAAATCTAAGGAGAGGTAGAGCGGCAGGTCCCGATAGGCTTACCCCTGAGATGTTTAAGGATGGTGGTCCAGTTTTAACGGTTAAACTGACCGAGATCCTAGGTAGAATCTGGGAAATGGACGTAATCCCATCTGACTGGTCTCAGTCGCTAATTGTCCCAATCTACAAGAAAGGACAGAAGTCCTCTTGTGACAATCACAGGGGAATAAGTTTAACTAATATAGTTTCTAAATTGTTAGCCTCGATTATACTTAGACGTCTAACTAGAGCTCGTGAAGAGCAAACTCGAGAAAACCAATCTGGTTTTCGACCTGGACGTGGTTGTATAGACCACATCTTCACACTACGACAGGTCCTGGAACACAGACACACATTTAGACGTCCGACAATAGTCGTGTTCCTGGACCTTAAGGCGGCATTCGACTCAGTGGATCGTGAGGTTCTGTGGCAGCGTCTGTCATTGAAAGGTGTACCAAAGAAGTACATTAACCTTATACAAGCACTCTACTCGAACACCACTGGTCGGGTGAGAGCATATGGCGAACTGTCATCTGAATTCTCTACATCAAGTGGTGTCCGTCAGGGCTGTCCACTCTCTCCATTCTTGTTCAACTTTGTCGTAGACATCCTCTTAGAGTTAACATTAAGCTCGTCAGATTTTTCAGGGGTTGACCTTCTACCAGGAAAGTCGCTTACTGATCTAGAATATGCCGATGACATAGTTCTATTCGGTGAAGACGCTGACAAAATGCAGAGTCTTCTGACTACCATAAGAAACAATGCAAGCATGTTCAGGATGCGGTTTTCCCCCTCGAAATGCAAAATGTTGCTTCAAGACTGGGTTGCATCGGCACCTGAACTAGTCATAGGGACTGAAGTAGTCGAGCGTGTAGATCACTTCACTTATCTGGGGAGTCTCATCAGTGCTGACGGTCTGGTGACTGACGAAATCTCAGCTCGGATACAGAAAGCTCGATTGGCTTTTGCCAACCTGCGTCACTTATGGCGTAGGCAATATATCCGTTCGCTAACCAAAGGGCGGGTGTACTGCGCAGCAGTTCGTTCCGTTCTCTTATACGGCTGTGAAACATGGCCGTTAAGAGTAGAAGATGTTCGTAGGTTACTAGTATTCGATCATAGATGTTTAAGAAGCATTGCTCGTATATCGTGGGACAGCCGAGTAAGCAATGCTGTCGTTAGGAAACGAGTACTAGGTAAGGATGGCAGATCAATCGATGAAGTGGTGAAACTTCATCAGTTGAGGTGGTTGGGACATGTGTTACGTATGCCTAACCACCGACTGCCTCGACGAGCTATGTTTTGTGGTGTAGGAGTAGGTTGGAAGAAAGCTAGGGGCGGCCAGACCAAAACATGGCAGAAATCCATGAAGTCCCTGACAAGTGGACTGAGTCATGTTGGTAGATGTAGACTACCTGGTTGGGGTCCGCGAGACGAAAGTCATCAATGGTTAGAGACCTTGAACGACATGGCTCAAAATCGTTTGCAATGGCGCAGGTGCATCCACTCTTTGAGCTCTCTCAAATCCTAATCTTCTGGATTAGCCAGCAACTCTACTTTTGTCTTTCTAACCTTATCTCACTGAATTATATTTTTTGAATAATATCTTCGAACCCTAGTCTTCTTTATTATAACATTAATACCTCTACCATCTTTATAACTATGGGATTTGATTTGACATTTGCGTCTCTGTGCTAATAATGTGGTATGGCAACATGAACCTATGTACATACGTACGAAGTTCTACGTTGCAACTGACTGACTGACTGTAGAACTTCGCACGTAAGTACATCAGTTCAGGTTGCCATACCATATTAGAACAGAGACGCAAATGTCAGTTCAAATCCCATAGTGGTAGAAATAGTTAAAGCACTAGCGGTAATCAAAAAATTAAGGTTCTGAAAAATTATTCAAGAAGTGTAATTCAGTGATAAATTTAGGGAGAGAAATAGAGGTGATGAGGAATTCAAAAGATTAGAATTTGAGAAAACACAAAGAATGGATCAACCTGCGCTATTGCAAACGGGTACCAGCCATGTCATTGAAGGTCGCTAACCGTCGGTTACTATCGCCTTGCGGATCCCAAGCAAGTAGTCTACACTTACCAACATGGCTCAGTCCACTTGTCAGTGACTTCATGGATTTAGATGAGACTTCAATCTAGCGATACTTATAACAGTATATTTACATCCAAAAATTATTGTTATGATAATGAGATAATCAAATATAGCAAGGTTTTTGATTGTTTAATTCACACTTCACTGTTAGGTATTTAAATCTAGCTGCAAACACCAAAGTCTAAACCCGTGTATGACTTTTTGCCTTGTTTTAAAGTACACAATAACTAAGTTTATGGTTGCCTTTATAAAAGATAACAGAAGACAAAACACTATTAAAACTAGTTTAAAGACACACATACCTCGTTGAGAGGAACAGGGGTAGGAAGTAGAAGTATGGTTATGTTTATTCTGAAATAAAGAACGAGGTTGACGAATTAAAGGATGTTCAGTAGCTTCCAGTTACAATACACCGTCACATCATGCTATACAGGGTTAAAAACTAATCTGAAATACCGAAAACTGATAATCACGGAAACCACTGCTTTAGGGCTCCACTTAGATTGCTTCTAACTAACCAATTCAAAAATGATAGCTCATAGTGTTCATTCTCATTTTCGTAAAAGAATTCAGTGTGGGATGAGTGTACTGATTAGTTTAGAGACAGTTCGTAGGAAAGCCTTTTTCATGACGAAAAAATATCGTCTATATACCTGAGCCAGATTCGTGGTTTAATGTCATTGGAGAAAATATTTGATTCTATGTGTAACATAAAAATGTTGGCTACAGTCCACGACACGGGGATTCGATTGCTACTCCTTTTGTTTGTTTGTTTGCACGGCGTCCCGTCGAAAAGAAGGTTGAATATAGGTAGTTTTGCGAATTTCGTGGTAAAAATTATCTTTAAAGGACATCTGCTCTAAATATAACTATCTACCAAATGCCAACACACTAAGCGTTATATTGACTTCAGTTCGGCACAATTATTTAGTACGAAAATTCCTCTGGCCCTAAACCCTTTTAGAAGAGCAACCAAGAATATTACATCTGAATAGAATAAGCGAAAAGAACAGAAATAATTAACATCTTACAATTTAGTAATTTTTATATGAATATCATTAAAAATGTAATAAAACGAAACGATTTACTCTGAAGTAATAATAAGAATGATATACGATGGATTGGTACTGCAGTTTTACCATACCTCCACAAAACACCAAAAGAATTGAGTCTGGAAACAACATAAAATAAACTCATTCCAAAGACAAAATGCCCTCTGAAATGCTTTAGTCCGTACAAAGGATGACATCTACAAATACGGTGCCAAATGTATAGCCTTTTATAATGGAGTCATCTGAAATCTTACCGTCGAGCCAAAGAACATCTTAGGCACACAAAAAGCTACCTATTATTTCTGTAGAACTATAAAAACTTAAAAATAGATAAGCAGTAGCGGGAGATGGCATCTTTAATAACGATTAAGTCAATATTAAAAATATCAGTCGTTTCTAATTACAAGGAAACACGAGTAGCTGAAGCTTTCCATATATCGCTAAACCCTACTATCCTCAAGAGAAAGGAAGGCTTTACTATCCATTTGACTTGAATCATCTATCTGGGCTACCAAGTGTGATTCTATTGACATATTACACTACTACTTTACATAAAAATTTAACTATCTTTCCCCCGCATAAATTTTACTCACTAACACCAATACACAAGCATGTCTCGTATTAAGACGACATCGACAAGGCCAAAAATGTGAGTCAACTGCTTAGAGCGAGTTGGTTGCGAACACTATATCAACTGTCACTAAGTTCGAAAAACTACAGAATTTGCTGAAAGTGAACTTCCCATTGAACGTTTAGAGAACTACATTTCCGGTTGGTCGTGGAGTCAAAAGGATGGATGATAAAGCGACCACTCGACTAGCTAAGCTTTCAATCAAATATACATTTGCTTTCACTTATGTTCGAAACCCAACCAGAGGAATTTCAAACTGTTCATTCGATTGAGGATCACCGAGATTTATTGGTCTAATCTATGTACTAAAGATTGTTTCGAAGCGTTATAGATGCTATTAGTGTCGGATTTTATGTCGTAATATCCAGCCTTGTAATTCATAAGTGCGTGACTAGTTAGTTCTTAGTTTATCCCTAGATATTTTCATTTAAGAGATAAAGTCGTCTTTTGTAACTCATGCCTTTAGTGATGCGCCAACTAAAATTAGAGTGGTTGTGGAATGTCAACAGGGGCGAACACTATCAGTTCACAGATAAATTAAATGGATGAGACCATCTTATGTAAATCCTAGACATAAATCACCGCAGAAAACGTTTAGAATGACATTAGATTACTTGATTATTTGAGACTTCTAGTTGCATCTGAAGTTGCATCTTTTCCAAGTCCCGTAGACCCTGGAGATTATTATTTAACTTGACAGGCATCGAGACATGAAGTGGTTCGACCTGCTCAGACAACATTTGTGCATCTAAAAAATGTTCCAGGCACCATATTATTCTTACCTGAAGCTTTAGCACGATTGACTACGTGCTGCAGTCTAGTTGCATTTTGCTTTTCCTGAGACGAAATTCGATCGAAAGCAATATCTGAATTAGGATTGGCAGGACTTGTGTTTATCTTCTTTGGCACATGGGTAGTATCCGTTATTTTGACAGGTCTACTGTTATAGGTTCGGACATGGTGTATTGATGGATTTTGAGTGTTCAGAGATGATCCCCCGTTGTCTGACACTTTTGACATACAGCTCACATTTCTAGGCTTTGGTGATGAGTTGTTGTTGTAAGGCTTTGAAGAATCACTATTACTCGAAAAGTCTTAGTACGATTATGTCGTCAATAAATCCCATACCTGATACACTATCTTCCTGGTCGGATACATCGTTGACTTCTCCCTCTTCCGCTTCATCGGACTTTAAATGAGTATCTAGTACATTTTCTATTAGATAGAAAATTAGTTGGCCAGTATTTACTTTTATCAATCAGTCGTGACTCCACGTTTTCCCTGAAGATAAAAATAAACTATTAAAAGCTCAGTACTAGAAACTGAGTCTGAAACTTTGAATGTGGGAGAGCAATGCGATCCTGTTATTACTTGTCACGCTTTTGAAGTAAAATACAATAATGAACCTATCTGTTACTAAATTACTGGAGTAACAGAGGAAATCCCACTAACAAACGGTCAGGACTAGATGAAAAATATGATTATTCCCACCCTAAAAGTCCACACAGATGGGACAATCAAGTACACAAAATCATTAATACGAGCCTTAATAGCTAGGTAGTTACTGATCAAGACCACGTAGTATGGACAGAAGGCCTAAGTACGAAGTAGATATAATAAACAGGTAACGGACTCATTGTTTCAAGATAACTAAATAGTTAGCAATTTTCGAATTTGCAACTTTGTACTTTAATAGTGTGATGGGAAGATTCTTAAGCAACATCTATACATGGGCTAGAACTTAGCAGGCTGTCGGACTAACATTGCATGAACTCATTGGTAACTAGAGTACCCGTACATAAATAAACACGCTAAGATATGGAACAGAATTATGGTTAATTGTCACTTAACTGATGCACTCAACCTAAATATCAGGACAGTGATATCGACTCAAACATGTAAACGTGTTGACTACAGATAAACTATTTCCAATGACTCAGAAACTAAAGAGTATTGAGTTTAATTTGACGACCAAATAACGGAACATAACATGAGCGAAGATAGCCAAGGTATCCAAACAAGAATGCACCACTATCCTCACATTAATCTTAGAAAGCCCGCCTGTGACACACACTCAAACTGCTTACATAAATATATTCAATATTTTTTCCACAAGCTAATATAAACCAATTGATTACTTCGTGCTAGATTCTTGTCCTTCCATTGCGGTTCCGAGTGTTTGTTAGTGTCCAGTGGAGGGGGGTCTAACCACTAGACCGCTCTAACTCTAGTCTGTTGGCAGTTGTTTGTGAGTTTGTATGTCCCGTGATTTAGACCAGTACGTTTGTCTCAGGTCTGTAGAGTTTCTGGACACCGGCAGCTATCACGTTACCAGGCCGGAGATCAGTTAGTTGCAATCTGGATAATAATAAGGAGAAAATTCTAGTGCTAATAAGATTTCAGAACTGAGTAAATGAATGGGTAATTTAGTTTATTCATTGGTAGTGAAGATTGTGCGAGAGCACGGAAGTGTGAGCGAGGGAAAGAAAACAGAGATAATAAGCTAGATAGACTCAGTTATTGGTCAGCAAAAATGTCAGTAATAACAAATAGCAGGTTTCAAGACATGCATCCGGTACAGCTGGTCCACGAGGAAGATGATAATCAGTATGTGAGTACGTGTTTCTCAAGTCACCTCTTCCTAAAGCTGTGGTGATATACTTTTACGAAGATAACACAGTTGCTGAAATACTTACTTCGCTTACTTATAATAAGAATTGTTATATTGTACTCCTTTTGTTTATCTGTAATAAATACTATCTCTCGCGCGCCAAGCGTATCTTTCCCATTCCGCTCCTCTCCTCGGTTGTTGTTAGCCGCTCCAGTAGTCTATTACTTCGATATCAGCAGGCTAGCGATAAATATACTTCTTCTTCCAGAATAGCCTTTTCTTTGACCTCTAGATTATCGGGCATTACCCTAGTTATCCCGCAAAGGCGTATATATAATTTAACTCCTTATAAAGCTGTCAAATGAGGATGCTGTGGTCACATTTGCTGGGAGAGTGCTCCAAGGTACAACGACCCTTAAGGAGAAAAGGTGTGCACGAACCTGACTATTCGCTCTTTGATGAGCAATTTTTCGAGGATTGCCTCGAGTGGAGTGGTGGTGATGCATCCGTTAGGTGCTCGAATTACGATGCTTTGGCGTGCTTAATATGTTGTACGCCAGAACTAGATCACCTCTGATTGTTCTGTAACTGAGGGTAGGGAGGTAAAATTTCACCTTTTGCAACCCTGGATGTTGCAGGTCCGTAGTTTGATTGTAATCCTTATTTTGGTAAAAATACGGCCAGTACTGTAACTAGTTTTAGAGCTGAATGAGGATCGCTCAGAAAATCCAATTCCCCAACCCTGCTTAATGAGGGATAAATGTGAATATGACATGCACCAGTGTTGATTCTTTTTCGCTCTATATTTTTGTTTCCAATATATCATCCTATCAACAGTGTACTTTAGGAGGTAATTCTTTTGATATTACTACGAATTCGCTGCTGTTAACAATTATTGGGACTTTCAAGATACATGAGAGTTAAACACAACAGAAAGCTAACCAGTATCTGAATAATTAACGGGGAACATGTTTGTATATTTGTTGAGTGTTGATCACAATTTTTCCGTTACTTGTTAGGCTTTGTTAAATGTGTCATTCCATTTATGTGCTACCTAATCCAGTCACTTTTTACACAGCCTTGATAGTAATGAAAAAGCTTCGGCCGATCTACAAGAATTCGGTTTTCTTCCTGTATTTGTTTTAGAGGTTAACAAGAGAACCACGTAATTCCAATTTTTCAGAAATTTTCCTCATTTTAATGATCACGTGTAAATGTTGCGTACAGACGTACCGGTAGCCTCAACGCTTTACTATAGTTCTACGAGACAAACATTTTCTCAGCTATTTGACTTTTTTGATCAAGATGACTTCAGTCTCATGAACACCACTCCAAATCTTATGTGCAGCTGTTCATGCCTTTAATTGGAACTGGGTGTTGGTGTGCTAAAATTATTGGAATGATTAAATTTACTGTACAATGGATAAGATAATGATAACTTACGTTATTTTGGTTATGATCTTTGTCGATACTTTACTTCCTTACTAACGCCTGTTACCCCCAATGGAGCATAGGCCGCCCACTAGTTTTATCCAACCAACTCTGTCCTGAGCTTCCCTTTCCAGTTCTTCCCAGTTGTTGTTCATTCTTCTGATTTCTTTCTCTATTTCTTGGCGTAGTGTGTTCCTTGGCCTTCCTCTTTTCCTCTTACCTTGAGGGTTCCATGTGAGGGCTTGTCTTGTGACATAGTCGCTTGATTTTCGCAGTGTGGGTCCCATCCACTTCCACCGCTTCTTCCTGATTTCCAACTCCACTGGAATCTGGTTTGTCCTCCCCCACAGTAGGTTGTTGCTGATCGTGTTTGGCCAACGAATCAGAAATATTTTGCGAAGAAAACTGTTCATAAACACTTATATTTTCGTATTTCTCCAAGTTACCGCTCCATACAGTAGTACTGTCTTCACATTTGTATTGAATATCCTGATTTTGGTTTTGGTTGAAAGTTGTTTGGAGTTCCAGATATTTTTCAACTGTAGAATTGCAGCCCTTGCTTTTCCAATCGGCGCCCTCACATATGCATCGCATCCACCTTTCTCGTCGATGATGCTGCCAATATATGTAAAGGTGTCGAAGTCGTCCAGTGAATCTCCATCAAGAGTGATTTTGTTGGCTCATGTTGTTTTGTATCATAGAATCTTACTTTTCCGTTTGTGTATGTTGAGACTTACTGTTGCTGAGGCTGCTGCTACACTGGTCGTCTTCTCTTGCATTTGTTGTTGCGTGTGTGATAGAGGAGCCAGGTCATCTGTGAAGTCCAGATCGTCCAACTGCGTCCTAGCTGTCCACTGAATACTGTCCTCGCCTCCAGATATTGAAGTCTTTATAATTCAGTCGATTAGTAGAAAGAGAGAGAGTGAGTTTAAGCAACCTTACCTGACACCGGTCTTCACCTCAAACGAGTTTGTCATCTGACCTCCGTGCACGATTTTGCAGTTGAATCCATCATAAGAATTCCGTATGACATTGACTATCTTCACAGGCACACTGTAGTGTCGAAAAAGCCTCCATAGTGTTTTCATGTCCACGCTATCGAATGCTTTCTCGTAGTCAATGAAGTTGATGTAGAGTGATGAGTTCCATTCAATTGATTGTTCCACAATGATCCGTAATGTTGCGATCTGGTCAGTACACGATCGATCCTTACGAAATCCGGCCTGTTGATCTCGAAGTTGGGCGTCTACGAAGTCCTTCATTCTGTTTAACAATACTATGTTGAAGACTTTGCCTGGTATTGAAAGAAGAGTGATGCCTCTGTAGTTTTCACACTTGCTGAGATCGCCTTTCTTTGGTATTTTGATGAGGTATCCTTCTTTCCAATCTGATGGTGCTTGTTGCTCATCTCAAATCTTGTTGAATAGAATGTGAAGTAATTTTGCAGTTGTCTTCATGTCTGCTTTCATTGCCTCTGTTGTAATGTTGTCTGGTCCTGCTGCTTTGCTGCTAATGATTTGTCTGATGGCCGTGTTGATCTCTTCAACCAACATCGATATGGAGGTCCGTAGATGCTGCTTCGATATTGGGTGGGTTTTGTGGAGCTGGTCAATTCAAAAGTTCCTTAAAGTTCCATGCTTACCTGATTGTTGTTCTTCAGTGTTGCTGATTAATTTGCCCGCTTGCTTTTCACTCGTCGTTCTGGTTTCCAGAGAGCTTCTTTGTTGTATCGTACAATTGTTTCATGGTTCCTTCTCTTGCAGCCTTTTCTGCCGTCGTTGCTCGATCATCCACATATTTTCGCTTTTCGGCTCTGATGCTCTTTTTCACTTTCCCGTTTGCTTCTGTGTATTCAGCTTGTGCCTTGACTTTCTCTGCTCTTGTTCAGCTGACATTGATTGCAGCCCTCTTGTTCCTCCTTTCTTCAATTTTTCCAAGAGTACCAACAGAGATCCATTCCTTGTGATGGTACTTCTCGTGACCCAGAACTTCGTGATATGTTGAAGTGATTGCCTCCTTAATCCCTTTCCAATTGTTCTCCAATGTTGTGTCCTCTCCATTGAGTAGATCCTGAAAGGCCTAGAACCTATTGGTGAGGGCTATTCTGAATTCGTTGAGCTTTACAGTGTCCCGAAGAAATGCCGCAATAAACTTCTGTGTTGTTGCCTGCCCCGTTGTACAATGCTTCTTTAGTTTCAGTTTCATTTTGGAAATCATCAAGTGATGATCTGAGGCTATGTCAGCTCCTCTCTTGGTTCTCACGCATTCCATGGTCCTTCTGAACTTTTTATTGATACAGATATAGTCGATGTGTTTCCGGGTAGTGTGATCGGGTTAAATCCATGTGACTCTGTGTATGCGCTTGCGTGGGAATATTGTTCCGCCGATGACCAGTTTGATGAACATCTGTCGACGATTGACTGCAGCCTTTCGTGGAATTGGTCTTTATCGTCTTCGTTGTAGTCGTTGGTAGGTGCATAGCGTTGGGTGACGTTCATCGTAATGCTGTTATTCTTTGTTTTGAGGGATGCTTTATTGATCCTGGGTGTAAACGGATTTCTACGGTGGCAGTTCCAATGGTTTCCAATAAGTGCAGCCTGAACTCGTATCTCCCAGTCCAAGGTCCAGAAAAAGCAAAATTTCCAGCAGAAAACGGTCTTTATTAATAAAAACATGGAAATACAAAGCAATACCTGGAATTGATGCACCTTCCAGGTTACAATTACTCCGAACAGTATCCAACAAAGGTGAATAATTGACGTTAAGTCCAACTGCTACCGGATCAATCCAAATATGGCTGTAGCCATATTAAAGATCAAATTTAAACAACATATATACAGATCAGAAGCAAACACAAAAACTTCAATATAAGTACAAAATATAGAAATAATAACAATATACAATGATAAATTCTCAAATTGGAATCAAATAAAATACCAAAAATGTCAACAGAAAAAGTCCGTCATGTCATAACAAAAATATGTAAACATGGAGGGATTTTCCAAAAAACAAAACATTCAA